CTTTCGCCATAAATCTCGCTTCTGTTAACGACTACGTTCCGCTTGGCTGCTATTTTGTTACAATAGTCCGACCCAAATCGCCAAACTTGGTCTCTTCCGGCTAATTACTGCGCTCGCTTCCTCTCTAAAAACACCGATAATTAGCAAATATAAATAAATATCAGTTCCGGTTGCATTGCTTTCTAAATAATTATCAATAATTAATCATAATCAATACTCCCTCTCTCTTTCTCTCTCTCTCTCTCTACCTCGCAACAAACACGTCTAATTAATACTCTTTATTATATTCTCCTTTTATTTCCACTAATCTCACTAAACAATAATACTAATCTTATTGTTCTTCTAGGCCTACTGTCAACAATTGAAAAGAACAACTTACTTTCGAAATTAAGGAGAAGAACGGAGTATTTTTACGTGTAATTGGACATTTAATAATCAAAAATAATTGGTAGAATAATAAATAAAAATACCACCCCGAAGTATCGATGAAAACTCTATCAATTGATTTAGTCAAAGTATCGAGATGACCAATAGCTTCTATGTTATAGGCCTAGACTAGAATCAATGTGGTTAGCTCCGGTGAGCCACAAGGGAGTCCGGATTCGATTCCTGTTGAATAGAGCACTTTTCTCGTCCAAGGCAGCCACTTACATACTCAGAGGAATGCAGGTATCAAAAGCAACAGGAAAATGTTTTTATTATTATAAAAATAATATATTCTCTCTTAAATAAAATTCACTAAGTCCAATTATTCTTTTATACGAGGAACGAAAAAAAAAGAAAATAAAATANCAATAATTTTTTTTTTTTTTACAGTTTACAGTTCTTCTTCTTCTTTTTTTTTCTTCTTGTATTGTTTACCTTTTTGTAATGTTTCTACCTGTATAAAGGTTTTTAATCTTCATATCACAAACTTCTCTAGTGCACTGGATAGTAATCTCATTACTTAATGTATTTTTATAAAAACAAATTTAATCTATAAACACAAAATTTTATTATATCAATATTGTCTCAGGATGTATTAGAGATGAAGGTTATCATCCAATAATACTTAAATTAGATCATCTAAATTAATTTTTATTATTTAATATTTTTTTTAAAAATATCCACAAGAAGAAATATATCGGATCATCTTGTATTATTCTTATTATATTCTTGTATGTAATTTATTAATCGGTGTCACGTTTCGGTAATTTATTTACACGTTTTCTCTTAAAATTAACGTATGATTTTTTAAAAAAAAATCTTATAAATAATACTGATAATAATCCAGCAATTGTCTTTAAAAAAAAAAAGGAAAGTTCTGTGTATTGATTACGTTTCATTCGTTTGATTCAATTAAGAAATCTCCTTCGAACGGCTCCAGTGACCTTTGAACTAATAATGTTGTGACAAAATGTAGTTGAGTCAATCACTGAATCAGTGGATGATAAAAAGTGAGGGTCACTGTTACAAAAGAGAGCTAGAGGGTCTATTGTCACCTCCCGTCTGGTCCCCAATGAAGGATGGGAAGAGAGAACGTGGCCTATTGTTTGGGAGCATTTCCTTTCAAGTAGCTACATCGGTAACCCGCTGAGTGATTGTTGCTTGTCCTCCATATGAATAAGAATTTATTGGGCAGAATAATTCCCTGTTTAAGAATTCATTTTTATCATTCTAATATTTTAAAATATGCGAAACGTGTCTCGACATTGGTAGTTCTAATGAGAAGATCTTTTACAGTATATCGCTTCCATACCATACGAGCCTACCGTTCTTCCAATAGTATATATCTAATAATAATTTTATTTTTATTATAACTATACACTTCCTTTCAAATTAAATTAATGTAGTAATTGATAGATCTCATCTATCTATTAATTAATGCAGGCCTAATATATTTAATAATAGATTCATTATATACGGTAGATCTATATAATTTTCATTAATTTTATACTAACTCAGTCTACTGTTAAGTGATAAATCACACTCGAGTATACAATTTTTACAGAATTTTAATCTTAATTAAACTTTTACCAAAGATTTTTCTTGTTTTTTTTTACTAAAATTCGTAAGCTGAATTATAAAATATATAATCAGAATATTTTTATCGAGTCTCTTTTGATATTCTATCCCGATTATTGCACACGTAATTATTTTATCAAGTAAATGAGATCTCGCCCCCCAAGAGTACTGTTCTTTATATCAAAGAAATGCTATTCGGATGCCCTAATTGGCTTCATCAAATCTTGGCATTTGATGTCACAATAGGCAGAGTTAACAATAATCACCCTTCATCCAATACGATTAAGAGTCGTACATTGGAAACGTCACGTCCAGTCCCTAAGGGAATAGAAGGTCTACTTCTTCGCCTTCGTGATCGAATGTCATTTCTCAATTCGATCGATCGAATTAACTGAAAATTAAATTGTAAAAATCCGTAATTATAACGTTCCCATTGTAAAATTCCAGTTATAATTCTTTTTATCGATAAATCATTGGTAAGAAAATTAGTTGTAGAAAGAATATATTCATTATCGGAAATTCGAAAATCAAAACTAGAAACTTTACAAGTTAATTCGTTAAAATTCAATTAAGTTCTTGTAGTTCTGACCGAATTGGTTCTAATAAAGAATATCTAAAGACTTTTGCAAAATGTATTTAATAGACTTTTCTACGGAAAAATAATTACTTAAATTTAAATTTAGTAAATGATGCAATTACCAAAGTAAAATTTACTAAAATCCCGAAGAAGGGAGGAAAAAAAAAGTAGAGGATTTTAAAATGATAATTAAACTAAACCTGTCATTATTGTAAATCATCGTTAAGATCGGATTAATATATATAGATTCTTTCAAAAACGGCTTGTACAGGCTCTGTATTAAATGAAGTTGAACTATTTTCTAATTACGTAGGCCACGAAAGAATAATTCCTTTTTTAAAAATATTTTCAACGCTTCTAACATTCAATAATTGTTTATGATGATAAAACGAGAAGATCATCTTTAACAAACAGCAAATTCGATAAATTACGCTCGGAAACGAATAAATTTAAAAATTATTTAATTAAACAGAAATTAAAAACGTTGTTAAAAGGAAGAAAGTAAAAAAAAAAATAGCGATAAAGAACGTCCAGGCGTAGCAAAGATCTTTCTATGGCTAAGCAGCGAAGGAGATCGCATGGAGGATAGAAGGCGAAAGCCATCCGACATGTCCGCCTTTGCCCAAATTGGATCACAAATTCAATCATCGTTCTGGACTGCTCTCAAAACAAATTTGCAGTCTAAATTGCCTTCATTGACTCGATCAAGGGTTCCAAATGGGAACGTCCGATGTCTGATGCAATTCGGGTTGGTCTGGCCACCCAGGTCCCCTGTTGCGGGCTGGGCGAAATCAAATCAAGCCAATGGGTGCCATGGAGGCAAAGCCCCTTCGTCTGCCACAGGTGATTCGATTTCACTTGGTACGTCACCTCATTTGTGATCTGTGAATAGCAGTAACCCAATTTTCTCCTACTCGCCTCGCTTCGATCGGCTTCGAAGCAAAAATTCCCAGCATCTAGTCCGTTGGGAAGATAGTTCTCGTGACGGGAAACCAACCCCGTTTTATCATTCAGCCGATGGAAAATGTAAAATATAAAAATATCATATTTTTATTTCTCGCCGAAAAATAATTTAATATACGAAAGTATAAACAACAGGCCCTACCCTAGCGAGTTACAAGGCCCTTTCTTATATTTTATTTTAATTTCATTACTTATGTTCCTTCCATTTTTATTTCCAATGCTTCTTTTCTTATTTCGTTTTTATCGATGTCCCTTTTTAATTTTACATTTATTTTATTATTATTAATATCACGATAAGATTATTGTTCCTGTGCATCATTATGAATATTTTTAGTGACAATTTTTAGTGAAACTTTTAGTGACAGTATTTAAGTACTACGATGATGTTAATTCAGGGACTGACTTATTAAAATTTTCGAAATTCATAATAATTTAATTAATAGTCATTATGAATGATCTTTACCATTAAAATATTTTAATAAATTTCAAGTTTAAGGATTTCAATGAAACAAATACCTTAATAAGTAATTTATTAAAATTAAGAAAAATTTAACCAATAAAAGAACAGATTAAAAACTTAATAATTACAAAGTTTATTTCCTAAAACACTTTAAAACTTTTCTAAAGTACTGTACAAGAAATCAATTTTTAAAATTATAAGTAAAAATATTTTAATTATACATTTATAAAATCCGTTTTAAAAGTTAATAAAAAGTGTAATTTTATACAAACTTATAAGGTTAATCATATATACTACTATAGCCTCTTGCCGTTATTATAACTAGTATAATTTTTTGTTAGTACACAGTTAAACTTTTATGGTTTATCACACTGACTCAATTGACAAGAAGAGTTTATTAATTAATCATATGGATCAATATACAGTCACAATATTACCAATCTAAAATGCATTTCGGGCTTTATAATGACCCCACTTTAGTAAAACATTTTAGTAATATAAACATTAGATGCTTAACGATCTATTAAAATTAAAGTAGATATATAACAAGGACAGTTGAGAATTAAAAACAAAATTATAAAAACACACAACTTTTTTTTTAAAAAAAAATCGTTCCTTAGCTTTTAATTATAATTCCAATTATCCTCTTCTACATTTTCCCTTTTCACTATACAGAATAACTTTTCACTTTATTAGATTTGATTTAATTTAGGGGAGACCGGGGCAAGATCGGCATGTTAAGCTTTACTTAAATTTTGTGTAATAAATACTGCTGTAAACTGAAAAGAAAGCTTTGCATATAGTCTATTGGAATGTTACCTTAATATAGAACTGGTTAAAATCAGTTTNTTTTAAAAAAATTACGTTTTAAATTATAAATACATTCGAAATATGAAAATATATCAAAAGCAAAAAAAAAAAGAAAAAGAAATAATAGAGAATATAACACATAAATACATAAGAAAGAAATATTTATTGACCATATAATCAAACATGCAAGTTGCGCTCATATACAGCAGCTAACATGGAGGTTTACATCCATTTAATTACACTTGAATACATAACACACATCTACACTATATACACTAATATTTCAATCTTCCTACCGGATAAAACCATTGAAACAAGGATGAATTGTTATTGTGGCAGCCAGCTCGATTGTACTTCCGGTTTTATCGAATGTATTTTTTATATTCTCTTCGCCTTTTTCTTCTGTTTCTTCTTCTTCTTCTTCTGTTTCTTCTTCTTCTTTTTTTTTTTAAATGTCTGTTGGATTGACGACCGCTGATTGAAGGACGGCCTGAGAATGCTCTCGCGCCTTTCGTCGAAGATCTGTGACACTTGACGTTGTCGGATCTCGTGAACATACCAAGTTATGAGAAGTTGAGCATTGCGATAAAGGTTTAGAAATGCAGCAGGTACACATTGAGAATGCTAAAAAAAAATAAAAAGAACGACAATGTTTTAACGAAGGTGATCTTATAATCATTTAAAACAATTACTAATACACACGAATGATCCATTATTAAACTTTTACCATTCGCGATTCACTCTTATTCGAGAAAATTTTACTCCACCCCGTTAAAATAGGTATATAAATAAAATCATTTACTAACAATAAATCATAAAACAATTCTTTCGTATACATATTTTTTTTTATTTTCTTTTTTACTATTCATTAAAGATAAGAGTAAATGTGCATACTAATGTAGTGTGTGTGTTTTTACACACAGAATTAAACCTTGGGTGAATGTGTGATACTACAAGAAACGGGTCATCTTCAACGTGTTTTCAGAATAGACCGACATTTTGATTTTATAATATTCGATGCTAAAAAACGTCGCTTCGCATAAATACTTAGTGTTAAATTTTTTTCGAGTTCCACCCCCTTTTGGGGTCGCGATCTACAGTTTAAGAAGCCGGTTTTAAACTAAATAGGTTCATTAATTAAATCAAAATATAGGACTGATTATTATAGGTTTAAATCTCGAGAATTTTCCTATCAAAACTTCTGTTCTTAAAACAGAATCGCATTGATTAGGTCACTAAGAAGACAAATTTCTTGGCTTATTCTAAAATCTGATACATACACACTCACATTTTGATAAATATAAGAATATTATATTAATATATTGAAAAGATTATGATAATTAATACGAATTAATCACTTGACTAGCAAAAATTAAAATATATAAACTTTGATTAACGATTAAAATTTATTATAAACGAATAAACTATTATCTTGGATACGTAATGCCTAATTTATATTTTATTAACTTCACAGATAAGTTACCTTTTATAGGAAAAGTCGGTGGTCCAAACTGATGACCCAGATGATGAGGAAAATAAAGAGGAGGTAGAGGAAAACGGGGATGTGTCGTAGATGCGGCATCTAGACACGATTGGCTATTCAGTGAGCTATAAGATAAAGGAAATAAATTATAATTCGAAAGCTAAAATTTATATAATTTACAGTAGTTAATTAGCTGTTAACTAACCTGCTAGCGAAACTCGGAAAGAGAGATGATGTTCTTAAGGAAAATCCCGAATCCAAACAGGAAGACGTAGCATCTTTAAGAAAACCAGATTCCGATATATTAACACTGGATCCGGCTGAGCACCTGTTCAATATGCTATCCCCACTTAATCCTGGAACACGACACGCATCCGTTTTATCGCCAGTTGAGTCACTTCTTCCCGTTTCCGTATCCGTATTCACTTGTTCTTCATCATCGTTCGGTTTCTGCGAATCTTCTTTAGCTTCTGCCGTGATATCATCATCATCGTCATCATCGTCGTCAACAGAATCGGTCACTTTTTCTATCGTCGAACAAGCCTGACCCGTTGATTCGTTATCTGCATTATTATCCGAAGTTCCTCCTCCAGATTTCGATTCTCTTTCTTTTCTCAACCTTTCTGCTTTTCTCCATTTTGCTCTACGATTTTGAAACCAAACCTTAAAAAAAAAAAGAAAAAAAAATAATAATACACAGAAAAATTTATAAAAATTCCAAATACTTTTATCAAAATTTCGTATCAGAAAACCTCTACGCGTACAATTACATGCAATTTTCGCTGCCTCTAATAATCCGCATCACATACGAATTCTTCGGATAATCAGTGAATTTCATAGTTAAAAAAATAAATTTATTATTGCGATAATAAAATAAATTTAGCATTGCCTGAACCAAATAAAGTCAAATTTAAATTATTCACCGTATACCGCATTAAACTATCTCTCAATATAAATTTCTGATGTATGATAGGTGCCTTCACCGTTGATATATTATATAAATTCACTTTATCCGTATTCCTGATCTAATTTTAATATTAACGTCATGTAACTGATAATAAATTATTGTATCAAATATGCAAAATTTTATTACCATGTGTAATAAGTGTACCGAGAGCATCAGAACCGAGGGATGCTCATCAACTATATATATTATATAATACAGGCTCATGTTTAAATATCGAAGGCAATTAACATGACAGAAAGATAAAAACGTATGCTCTTTGTATACAAAAATAGTATATTTTTCTCTCGTCTCTTCAATTTTTAGTTAGAAAATTATAAGAGAATTTATAAGCTTAATCCTCTGTAACATTTTATAGAGTAAATATTCTGTATTTTAAATATAAATTCCGTATTTATTTTCATATAAAAATATAAATATTGTATACTTAACGGGTCGGGTTTAATTTTTAAATACGATTAAAGTTAATTAAATTGATTAAAATACGAAAATAAAAATAATTAACCATCGGTTTTGTAAATTATAAAGCTAAGCTTATCTTTAACATAAACATTAGACAAATTAATACATTTGCTATTCCGATTAACCGGAATGCCGGATAAACAAACATATTTAACATATAAATCTCAGGCGAAGATAAATTGTAGGAGAAGAGAAGTCCTTCATTATATATATAGCATTATCTGACGTAAAGCGCTTGTTATTGGTTAAAATTAGATTTTCTAAGCGGAAATTTTAAATTAATACAGTCATAATGACTAGGAAAATGTCATAGTGTTTTCTTAATTAACTTCTACTGTTATAATTCTAGCAATTTGCGTGACTTATTATCAGCTAACGGTTTAGAACGAAGATGTCAATTGGAGCTGAAGGGCGTTGGTTCACTCGTTTATTATCAAGGGATTAAGGTAATTACGGTAGGGATTATAAAAATGAAATAATTTCTGATTGAATAAATAGTGTAAAATGCCAATTAGAACCGGGCAAACCAATTGAAAAGTATCGTAAATTTAATTTAGTAAAATTACAATACCTTTTTTTTCTTATTTTTATTTTTTTATTTTGGTAATTTCATATTGCATGTGAAAGCATCATTTTCTAAAATCATCAACGTTTAATTGTTTACAATTATGTTCTATGCTCTCCTTTACCCACAGCATGAATCATAACACATGCAAGGAGTGTTATACATGGCTGAGTTTACTCATTTGATGACCATGTTCATACACAATTCATTCGATGTTTTAATTAAAAAATATATATATTTATTATTTATTAAATATAAATTTACCTTACTACCATTTATATAATTTTAAACATGAAAATAATTATTTTCTATATATATATATATAAGCCCATTTATAAAGTAGAAAATAATCATCACGTATCCTGTTGACGCAATTTAAAAGAAGAAGAAGAGAAGAGGAGGAAGAAGAAGAAGAAAAAAAGTTTGATTAATCTTAAGAATTCTGAAAAATTCTAGATTTAATATGGAAAAAAATAAGATTAAAAAAGCAATTTTAATATTGAAATTTTTGATTACATAAAAATTTCGGCCGACATGAAATAAAATTAATAAGATTGCATCAAATCGTCTTTAAGTAGACTATAACTTGATTGAAAACATCTTTTAAAATATTCTATTCATTCAAAAACAAATTAGAACATATAATAAATCAAAACATTACTTTTCAAAGCATCAATAAAGAAGAAAAAAATAAATAACGGAATAAATATATATTTACGTTAAGAAAAATGTATAAAAATCTCAAACATTCCCTATAAAATTCGTCGAAAAACGAAAAAAAAATATACTAAATAATAACGAGTCTGTCATATTTTATATACATATTTTAGGCCATTTAAAAACAGTTTTAACGAGTCTTTAATCGTATTTTATTTTATAACAGTTTTAAAAATAAAATTAAAAATTTCTTTATCAAACGTACTAACGGAGAACGTACAAAAAAAAAAAATGTACATAATTTTTGTTGTTTCTTGAGCAAGTTTGAGTCATAATATTTGCAGTTTTATTAATTTCTTTAAGAGAGGAAATTTGTACATTCTGTACAAAACTTGTAACCTATTAATATAGTAGAGTTTAATGACTCGCGATTATTAACAGATTCAACTTTTCCACAGAACTAATTAAGCAGACTGCAGACTAGGCCTATGTATAAACTTTGAAAACTATTAAATGCGTTTATAGCAGTGTTTATGAATTCCCCGGCGTTATTTCGTGCGTGTTTATGTCGATAATCACGTGTTTTGTAGATTTAAATCTACCCAACTTTCATGTTGTCATTAATCAACGTTTACAACGCAACCGTACGTATTTGCTGAAAATTATTTGTAGCATCGTAAAAACTTATATATATGTATGTATATAAACACACAAATACACCTTTGCATTTTCTTACTTAATACTTGTTTGGTGTTTAAAAAAAAATGACAAACGAAGACTGTTTTTCGCTTTTAATTATGGTAAAAAAACAAATAACTTGTGTAAAACGGACTTTCTATAACGTTAAATCTACTTCTCCTTTTATATTTAATCTATTATTGTTTTTGTCCGTTTTATACAGTTTAAGTGGGATAAAATGTCATCTTCTTACTTGAACTCGAGCTTCCGTAAGATTAATTTTCATAGCCAGATCTTCTCTAGTGAATACATCGGGATAATGCGTCTGAGAGAAGGCCTTCTCCAATTCTTCTAACTGAAAACATTTTCATAATTATCATTTTGATAGAGGAAGATTTTTGTCCATCTTCCTTCAAAAAAACCTACCTGTTGTACAGTGAAGGTAGTTCTGTTCCTTCTCTGTTTCCTTCGAACGAAGGTGTCGTCGTGTAAATCACTTTGATAACTGTAGCTATTATCTGCGAAGAAAAATCAAACGTGACTTGGGGTATAATGTGTTAACTCGATACTCTAATCGACGCTATCATTTAGACGATTTTGACAAGCATTCAAGTCTAGTCGGGTCCAATGGCTGACAAATCGAATCTAACTCCTGTACTACATGCTGTAAATTCATTAGGTTATTATGCCTGGGGCTAGGAGACAAGATGGGCGACTTGACTGAGCGCAAACAAGAGAAACCGACTGTACAAATCGTGGCTGTTTCCAATTTGAAGGAGATCTATTCAACCGTCCTAGGCGAGATAATTGAGCGAAGTGATGCAATACACGATCGACAATTTTACAAACAGAATAGAAGCTTATAACTTCCATCAATGATACTCAAATATCCTCAAGCAATACTCCATTCACTTGTTTGTATGGGGGTTTATTTTGTAAAGATTTCCTTTATTTTTTTTTTCTTAATTTTTACACAGATATAAATTTAAGTTTTTAAAAAAATATTTATATATATATATATTTATATATAATGAATTTTTAATAGAGAATGATTTTTTTATTATCTGTTTAATTTCCTGTATTATGTTATAATTGCCCTCCAGGTTTATTTTGTGGTTTAGAAAGAGTGTTAACTAAATAAAAGCTCTCAATAATAATATATTCTATAAAGGCTATTACTGTTGTATTTATTTTGTAACTGAGGAAGGTGAAGAATAATAATAATAATAGAGAGAAGTTCGGCATATGAGCTTTTTATTATGTTCAACAATTGTGTAAATTTAGTTATTGAAGATATTGCAACGATTTTAATATTGTTACTCAATAGTTTCTTATTTATCATTCTAAATAGTTTTTATTCGCTTCCCGTTAATAACAAGTAGAAAATTCGTTTTCTTCTCTTTTAAACTGGTCCATTGAAAGCGATTTTATAGAATTTTTAATGTATAAATTTGTATTAAATTAACTGTAAACATCTTCAATTAATTAAGCTTCTTCTAAATAAATTCTTATGAGAATTTTCTTTAAAAATTCATTTTATACAAATCTAACTTGATAAATAATTAACTGTAAAACTTATATTATAAAGTTTATCAATAATCTTTGATTCAAGATCAAAGATGAAGCAAAGACAATCAAAGTATTAAACAATGTATAGAAAAATAATTAAGTAGCTTCAATATCATATTTTAATAGCGATATCCTTCGAATTAATTTATTAAAATATTATTTCTTTCTATAACAATAATTAAAACACTTTTACAAAACCGACATCAAAGGAATTTAATTAAAAAAAAAACAAATTTTATAGATTAAGATTAGAAGCGAAGTCTTTATCCAAGAGAATTGAGAGTGTTTGAATGGTAAATTTTAATAGAATCGATCGTTAATTATTATATTTTATCATTAAAAGAGACTAGAATAAAGAGAAAAACACAGAATCTGTTACTTACAAGGAGAGACAGCTGAATACAGAGAGAAAGGGATGGGCGCGGGTCGAGATCCAACAGTTGCAGGAGATACAGTCAGTGGACAGTGATAACAGAACATATCAAACTAGAAGAGACGAGAATAGTGAAAAATAAATGGTTTATAGAATTGTATATACACTTAAATTTCTATATATTTAATAATATTTTGTTTAAAATTATATAAATAATCTTGCAAGAGATAAGATATAAAGTATCAATTTTTATTTTCGAAATTTCGCCATAGGCCTATTTATTGTTAATTGCTTGTATTAATCTACTTTATATTCAACCGAAGCAATTAGTTTTATTTTTATAAACCTTTTTCTTTTTTTTTTCTAATTGTTTTAATTAGTTATATAACGTTCCACATTCGTCATATTTATATTCAAAAGTTTAAATTTTCGTTTTATATAGAATTAAAACTAAATTGTTTTACAATTAATCACACAAAGTAGACAAGGAAAACAATTTAGCAGAAACGATGCCAGTAATTAATCTAACAGACAGAGAAGAATGACGTGACTTTTCTATATAAAATATGATTTTACTCCAATAAATTAATATAATATCAAGATGATTAATCTATATAAAATATTTAAATTTATTATAAATATTATAACACGTAACAGTTTTAAGATGTTATAAATAATATTCTAGAAAAGTTACTCAATTTAAAGATGATAAAATCAGTGGAAAGTGTAAAATAAATTCTATGAAATTACACTCGTAAATTGCACCAATAAGATAAATTGATTATTCAGATAAAGATCTCTTGAAGTTATTAAATTCCATCTTGATATCAAGTAATTTTATATCAAGCTTTAGTTAGTTTATGTAATTTAATCTAAGTAATATCTTATGAAGATAATTATAAAATGATATTCTATATTCCTATATATATATATTAATATATCAATGAAAGTGTTTAGACATTAATGGCAATTTCTCTACCGGAATTAAACTAGAATTAAATGAGGATAATTAAAAAAAAAACTGTATAGATTTTTATGGATATAAATAAATTAAGGTTAGAAATCAATTAATATATAATCTAAACAACTGTTTTTTTAAAGTTAAATTTGAGTATATTTATCAATAAAAAAGGGATATTCTCGTATAAAGATGTAGGCTATAAAAGAAAGCGTTGTTAAGAGAATTTCGAGAGTTAAAGGATGCAGAAAATGCGAATTTTTCCGCATGAAAAACAATTTCGGCATATATATATATTTTTTCCCCTTTTTTTTCTGTGTTTAACAATTTATTTTAAATCAAAAATACATGAACAAAATAATAATAAAAACATATAAAATTACAGCTTTATATAAATTTATCATCTTTGTACTTATGCTTATAAATGTGTATATATATATATATATTTATTTCTACTATAAAATAAATTTTCGTAAATAGTAATTTATATGATAATTATATTTAAGTATTTATGGCATTTTTAATTATCAATTATAATTTAGTTCGAAGTCAATTATTTAAAGATAAATATTTAAAAAAAAACGATTTGATTAGTTAAACGTTATTTAAATAGATGTTCTTATTATAATTAGCAATTTCTAAATGCAATAAAGAAATTTATATAGGCCTAAATATGTATATAAACAATATAGAATTATACAATTGAAGATATTAATTTGATTTCTCATCATTTTTTTTTTATTAATCGTAAGCATATGAATGATTATGTTAAATTAAAATAAATATGCATATTTGATTGCATTAATTAAGTAATTGAAAAATCCACATTAAGTTAAAAATTAAATTATTTTGTTTAAATTTTAATTTAATATTCACGAATAAGCTTATATAAATATTTTTTAAAAGATTCATTTAAAATATTAATATGTTAATAATCTAATAATTATTTTAATAGAATTATTAATTAAATCATATTAATGAAATAAAGTGATAAAATTTCTCTGACAGCAGAATTTAAATAAGATCTGTAAGTGGGGTTTTACATAAGAAAACACACAAGCTATTGTAGATTGAATACAGGTAGGAAGATATGAAAATACCTTATATAAAAGGGTAAATTATATTGGTAGTCGAGAAATTTAATACATTTACAGAATTATAAGTAGATATATGGAATTTATAATCCCCAGAAGTAGCTTAGAATTACTAAAAAACTTGGCAAAGTAAATTATTCTTTTTCAATTGTACTTATAAATTTTTGCATCAATCGACTGTTTGGAGTGTTGACTTAAATCGAATTATTAATTCCGAATAGAGAAAACATTTAATAATACTAAATAATATTAGAATATTATGCTCTTTATTCAAATTTTCTTGATGTAATTTAAAGTAAATACGATTTTATATTAGAAATTTTTACCGAAATTTAATTTTACATACCTTAAGCAATTTAAAGCTTTTAAACATGTATAAAATACGATAGATTAATAATAGAATTTATATAATTCGTTTTATAACAGAATAAAATCGTCATTAATATTGCATAATCTTATTTAATAGGAAAATTTATCTTTACATGAAGTTTTAATATTATATACGGACCCATGGGTAATGCTGATGAATGATAATATTTAATAGATTTAATTCCTAATTTATTTTCATTATTGAGAGTGTTTGAATGGTAAATTTTAATAGAATCGATCGTTAATTATTATATTTTATCATTAAAAGAGACTAGAATAAAGAGAAAAACACAGAATCTGTTACTTACAAGGAGAGACAGCTGAATACAGAGAGAAAGGGATGGGCGCGGGTCGAGATCCAACAGTTGCAGGAGATACAGTCAGTGGACAGTGATAACAGAACATATCAAACTAGAAGAGACGAGAATAGTGAAAAATAAATGGTTTATAGAATTGTATATACACTTAAATTTCTATATATTTAATAATATTTTGTTTAAAATTATATAAATAATCTTGCCAGAGATAAGATATAAAGTATCAATTTTTATTTTCGAAATTTCGCCATAGGCCTATTTATTGTTAATTGCNAAAAAAATTAAACAATTTTACGAATAATATAGTACTAAATAGGTTCATTTTATTTTCTAGAAAATAAATCATATATAAAAATTCCAATATATAATTTCTATAATTTATCAAGCAATTAATCTTTTTTTTTCTCTGCATTATTTTTCTGTATCAAATCAGATTATTGACAACATGGGACAGAAATTAAGCATCAAACACATTTCTTAATAACTTTACGATATTAAACTTGCTAATCACAATATAAAGTAACAATTTATAATTAAATTTCTCTTGTAGTTTACAAGATATAAACTGTTTTCAGGTTATTTATTCGTTTTCATAGATTTTTATCTCTCAATCAGTTTTTATTATTGAAAACTAGATCTTTAGAGAATCAAGAAGAACCAATGAAGTTAATTAAATTATTTTAATTACTTATCTGTTAATAGATTTAGGGATTTGATCCCGTGAATTAATTCAAAGTAAATTAAGAAATCATTTGATATTTAGATAATTTTTAATTTCCAAAATTTTATCGAGTTTTTTTTCTTCTTCCTTCCCCCTCTCCACTTTTTCCTTAACTCTATTTGATAGAATTTGTTTACTGATTTTGCGATTAAATCTAAATATTTTAGTGTTATCTTGACATTAGGCAATTTGAAAATGGCTTCGCTTTAATAATAGAATCTCCTCATTTAGGCAGATCTAGTTTTAAACGTTAAATTATCTTAAGTACTACTCGATTAACTAATATAAATACTTTATTTTCGTTTTTATAAATAATTAATCTAAGACCGGTATACGTGAATATTAAGATATTTTTTTTCAATACTACGATTTTTATAATTTAAATGTACATATCCATTACTTTAAAGATTAAAAACTCATCTCGTTTATTGTTAAAAATATAGTTTCTATGCGAGCGCCTGTAAAAGGGGCTTTTCCTTTATGCTCCCTAACTATGCAGAAAAGAAGCAATCTTGCTTACTAAACAAATAAAAATACACATATACCGTATATAAAGAAATAATTTATAAGAAACGAATTATATATTTATAATGATAAAGAATCTTTACGTTATAAATTCTTGACATTTTTACAGATATTTTACGTAGAAATTAAAGTTTTAAAGATATAAACTATTCACGTTCTCTATTGAGCGTAGGGGTTAATTACTACTACAATGATAATTTACACGTTACTTACCTAATTGTAAGGTATTATTTTGAAGAGAATCGAAGAGAATTATCTAGATTTTGTCACAAATAATAATTTTCTGATGATTGTTGACTGGAATGCGGCTTCTTCTTGCGCCAAATTCAAACTGTTTCAAGGCTCTTTATCGACTTTATGAAAACTGAAGAGGGTGGGATTTGAAGCGAAAGCATCTCGGATGCCATTGGCTGAACTTACTCTAGGCGTGTTTTCCCTTAAGGCACATCGATGTTGATTGGTGAAACATTATATTCGTTTGTAAAGAGAAAGCGGTAATCGTTCAAATATTTTATTGAATTTAAATTGAATCGTAATTAGACTATTTGTAACTGGTCTTTTTAATTGAAATTTAAATAAGAAAAATAAATTCTTTATTCGATATACTTTATTAACAATCCTTCTTTTGTCTAGGAAACGATATTTTCTCTTATGAGTAATTATTTTAAGAAAAAACACGACTTTTTCATTCGATGTGATAACCACTCTCTACTCTATTATTAAAGAGATTTTTTGATACATAAAGCGTAGATCAAAAATATTTTATAACTTATTTCCTCATATTTAATATTTATGTCACAATGTATACATTTTTAAATTAAAAAAAAAAACAAGGTTAAATTAGATTATATTATAGCAATTCTCCTAATCTTAAAATAAACTTTAGTTGCTAATAAATTTTAAATTATCCATATATCAAATTAAGGTTTTAATTCCATTAATTTCTGCAGTTTATAACAATGAATGTTTAAACTCATTTTCCACACTATATCTTAAGTAAAACAAGCGAATTAGAACTTGATAGGTTACAAGAGAAAACGATGCATTATGTAGAAGACATTAAGGGGTCTCTACATCACAGCAACCCCAGTAGTTGTCTCCTCTTATTGTCATATATCAATGCCATTGTGTCTGTCGGCAAGAGTATTAAAGTCTTGTTATCACCCAGATAAATTGAATTAGTTCAGAAATAAAGGGAAAAGCTAGAAGAGAAGGAGGTATTTTAGATGTTTTTCTGCTCCGCAGTGCATTAAAGACGGTTTTTTTTTCCAACGTGATGCACCTATTAGGAAAGTAGTCAATTAAACCTATCAAGATGTACGAGTAGTCCTGCAATTTCAAACCATACTGATTAACACTTAGCGATGTCAAATCCATTTAGTAGGCCGCATACTACTTTTTCTAACTTGTTAATTAAGGAAAGAGACACACACACACACACGCACACACTCTTATAAAATTCTCTTTTCTCTCTCTCCAGCTATGATTAAATCGTTGATTTGTTGTTTTTCGATCGATAATATGTTTGGTACTTTGAAAATTAAATCGTCTCTCCCTCTCCCAATCTACCTAAGTTTGAAGATTTAAGTGAAGTGTTACTTTTATCTAAATGTAACATCCATTAAGAAGTCCAAGCTTTATTTTTCTTTTTTACTTTTCGCATTTTTTAAACGATTTTTAATTGGTTAGATACATATAACTTGGAAGTTTAAAATCTTGCAAAATTTAGTCAATTAACAACGTTCTTTTTTTCCCCTTCAACTCCTATTTAAATATTTACGTATGCCGAATAAATTTATTGATAGTGGTCATTAAATTGAAAGTGCTAAAAACTGTCGGGGTAACTTATGCAAAGCGCAATTGGAAAATTTGCAAGATTTTTTCTTATTTATTTCTTTTACTTAAATTTTTATACGCCGATAAATTACACAAAACTAAAAAAAATATATATATATATATATATATCTTTCGAGATAAACCGAGANTGTATATATTTAAGCACGTTTTATATACTTATATATATATATATATATATATATATATAAACATTAAAAGTAAGTTTATTTTAAAAATGTCTCCATTTAAAGAATATATAGAATAATTTTACACTCTTTAAATTAAGGTGATTATCGTGTCCGAATATCCATTACCTCTTATAAAATAATTGAATACGGCATCGAATTACAACAATAAAAGCTTCTGTACTTCTTACACGACTACTTCTGTGTGATTAAACACTAGAATCGTCTTAAGTTATTAGACGAGGGACGACGACGTTAAACATCTGAAAAATGAATTTTACGCACGGTAAATATAATTATATCTATTATCCTGGTGTATATAATTTCCTATTTAACGCCTAAACAATGAAAGTTAATGTTTTTAAAGTAATCCTGATTGTGGTTTTTTTTCTTTCTTTCCCTTTCCTTTCTTCTTTACTCGGTCGCGTGACGATGTCGCCAACCACGCCCCGACGTCACAATCACGCAAATGCGTGATAACAGTAGCCAACTATAGTATTGGCATTGTCCGTCGACCCGGTAGCGCAGCTAATTTATACACTCCAACCAGTTTCTTATCGATTCGTTGAGGAATCTCTAGAGATTTTCATGACCAATCGGTTAGCATTGTCGTACAAAATGGCAGATAAATAATCTTATGAGAATTATCCCAGGCAAAATATTAAATGCTACTTATACTTTAATCTTATAATAGTCTCGACACAATTAAAATCTATGCAAATTATATTTAGAAAACGTTTTAAGTCATCGGGAAACTCGGATGCGGGAGAGAGAGAGGAGAACGTTTCTAAGAAAACTATCAAGTAAATTATTAAATTATTTTTTAACTTCGTTTTCTCTCTAATAGATGGCGCTGTGTAAGTATATAGTAAACTAATATTTGCATTAGGTTATTCGGTGATAATCATATTCACGTGTAATACGCTGTTAATCAAAATATTTTATCACGCACTCGCGTGAAACGCGCACGAGAACTTTTTTTTTTAATTCTAAGAATGCTCTTATTAAACTATTCCCTCCCCCCTCTTTTTTTTTTCTTATTCCTTCTCAATCATTCTATGTTAATCGCCATAAATTCATCATTGTAGCTTCATTTTCTTACATTTAATACAAATTGTTGAATTTTTTTAATGTAGATATTTATATATATCTACATTAAATCTCGATTTCGGATCGTAATATATTTTATTTCATGCAGAATATATTATTATTATTATTATTATTTTTAATATAAAATCACAATCGCTCCATATAAATGATGTAATTTTTAAATGTGGATGCTCTGTAATTAAGAATTTAATATTGGTCCAAATTAGTAAAAGGCCTTTCAAGTCTTTTTCAATTTTTATCCAATTGTAAACTGTATTGTTAGTTGTGAAAATCCATTTCCGTGTCGCTAGTTTCTTTCTATACTTACTCCTTCATTTTATTGCTCTGTCTATATATTTCTATATAATTTATAGACGAAGAATTTCTTCCCTAATTTTACGTTTGTTGTAGAGAATTTTTTTTTTTTTTTTTTTTTGATTAGCGCCGTTTTGTCGTAAAGCTTAAAGTCTGATTGGGTAAAACTCATTTATTAGCCTCTTCCGAATAAATATTAACTGGGCAAAAGCATCCATTTTTAATTAGAGTAGCGACGAAATAAAAAGAAAGAAAGAAAAAAAAAACNTTTTTTTTTTTTTTATTAGCGCCGTTTTGTCGTAAAGCTTAAAGTCTGATTGGGTAAAACTCATTTATTAGCCTCTTCCGAATAAATATTAACTGGGCAAAAGCATCCATTTTTAATTAGAGTAGCGACGAAATAAAAAGAAAGAAAGAAAAAAAAAACTGGCATCGATATAAAATAATATAGAAAAGTGTAAAAATTATTTAATAAAACGTCCGGTTATACCGGGTTTTTAATAAAAAAAAAAAATCTTTAAGCTTAAAGTAACTATAAAATCGCCTATAGTAAAAGGGAAGGAGTTTTTCTAGTAGGAATCGAAACTTAATGATCCGTTCGGTGTTGTTCAACAACTGGATTAGTAAGAGATCCAGGATCTGGATACAGAAGAGGTGAAGGATGTAAGCAATGATTTTCACTAGTGCGACTGACATTCATAGTCGGTCGGAGAGTCATTGGATAGTTGGCGATGACCCTATTACTCATCCTATGGGAACAGATGAGTTATATTAGCTGACGACCTATTAACGCCATGCGAATAATGACATACAGCTGCAGGACGATAAGCTTCTATTACTCCTGTGATCGTTCTATGTGACAAGCAGGTTGTAAAGCTGTTGGTTTTAGTTTCGGAGTTATGGGATTTTCTATCATAAAGACTCGACGTAAATTACTATCAACTCGAATTTTTAAAATGTTCGAACTCGAATTTATGGAAAACTTGAAAATTTTGAAATTGCTTAACACGATTATCGTTTCTGAGATAGAACGATGTTTTTAGGTAGAAACAATATTTAAACTCCAAATATAATAAGTATTTTAAAACGGTTTTTTTTTGTAAGGTTTATAATCTTTAACCGTGTAAAAATATTAAAAATATTTTCTTAAAATGTTTACATTTTAATTATAAGTAGCTTTTCTATCGACTAGAAGTTAAGCAGGAGATGGCAGATGCACATACTTTCCTAAATAGGTTGAAGCGAAGGACAAATCAAATAATTACATCATCGTAACACTCATTAGACATTCATTTCGACTCTTTATTTCGTTACTGTCATCCAGGAAAAGACGAGAGAGTTCACAAGGGAGCGGGTCTACAACAACCATCTTGTCAGTCCAACATCTCGCCTGCAATCACCACGACCGAGAATTATTTTATCATCGGAAAAGTACAGAAACGGCTGCTTTAATGGGGAATGAGACGCCCAATAACATTTGTCATTAACCCATTTTGGCATCAAAACTACTTTTATCGAAATACAATATTCCCGAAACAATTACAGATACGTAGAAAACAACAGTGGCGCGTTATCCTATGGACAAAAAAAAGGGGGGCAATCGCCCGGTGCCCCCACTAACAGGTGGCCTCAAATCAATCTTTTACCAACTCATTACTGTAGTAAGAATTTATCGAAATTTAAATTTGGTGCCATATTCGAAGACCCTACATTACCGTTAAAACCCTCCAGACATCGCGTTAAAAAAAACGAACGAGGAAACTGGGAATTCCCCTAAATAAAAATGTCTGCCAACAGTGTACACAAATTTTCCCTGGCCCCTATAAGCTATAACAATAGAAAAACAATGCTTAATCTCGCGCTTTTCTACGTCAAAAAAAAAATAAGCGCAACGTCGTTTCCGATTCGGTTTCGTCCCAATTGTATTAAACACTTCCATCGATTTTTTTACACCATTTAATCAAACTTTTATTTTTAAATTCCTACGAAAATGGTATATTAAATCCTATTTATAGAGCTATAAATAAAACGTAATATTATTATAACGGTTTAATAAATCAGTAAAAAGTAATCTTAGCCACTGTAAATATTGGTTAATTTTCTACCCAGTTACCCAACTTTCCCTGATTATCCGCTAGCGTGACAAATGTGGGGCGGTCCTTAAAAACTCCCACTCTCGACCTCCACAATCTGATTACAGTCAGACACCCTGTGATCACTGTCCAATTGGTTTGGTTAAAATAATTGATTTCGGTGTCAGAATCGCAGATATGAAATATATTTTTTTTAATCCTAAACACACGCTAGACTATTTTTACGAGTGGGTTTATGTATAATATCATTCTTATTAATTCGAACGGATATTTAAAACCCGCAGACCAAACTAAATTTTCATAAGGAGGGATGATGAATGGCGCTTTTCTTTGATCGCTGACTTAAATCTAAAGACATTTCTCGCGTTATATCGACTGTTGAATAGCGGGAAATATTGGCTTTTTTTTTTTTTGGAAAGTGTAAAATAAATTCTATGAAATTACACTCGTAAATTGCACCAATAAGATAAATTGATTATTCAGATAAAGATCTCTTGAAGTTATTAAATTCCATCTTGATATCAAGTAATTTTATATCAAGCTTTAGTTAGTTTATGTAATTTAATCTAAGTAATATCTTNTCGCCCAGTTCAGCGCAGCGAGGGACGATATTAAAGCCCCGACTCCCGTCGGGATATCGACCCTTACAGTCGCAGCGAGGGACGATATAGCGTCCCGACTTCCGTCGGAACATCGCCCAGTTCAGCGCAGCGTGGGTCTATATTAAACCTTCGACACCGGTAGCGATAGTACTCTATTTAAACTATAAAGTAGAATAGAATGACTTACATTATTAATTATATTCTGATGTTTCTCGAATTTCCCAATTTTGTAGGAATTTTGTTCATATTTTGCTGCCGTCATTTTCGAAATCCTCGGAAATTTGTTTTCATTGGAATTTTTCGAATCCCTCAATTTTATTATGGGTTTTCGTTTTTTTTCTTTATTTCTTCTTATTTTTTATTCTAAACTTGTCAAAAGAGCATAGAATTGAATGATTTCAATTAATGGAAAATTTTGAAGAATGATTCGACGAGGACAATTTCAACAATGATTTAATTTCATTGTTGATCCGTTAACAATTGTTTAAAGATTGCATTGTTGTAATGACGTCACGAATGACGTCGATCGTCGTTTAGTCTTTTAATTAGTAAAAAATTTATCACAAGAGCAATCTCATTATTTTTCTTGACAATCGCATTAAAAATTTTAATTATCGCATTTGGCCAGGAGAGCGAAAAATCCCTACCGACTTTCGAAACTGCCTTATCGGATAGAAAATTTGCTAGAAAATTAAAAAATAAATTAAAAGAAAGATATGTAAGCATCCGCAATATTTTAATTAGTAAAAAATTTCCCACAAGAGCAATCTCATTATTTTTCTTGACAATCGCATTAAAAATTTTAATTATCGCATTTGGCCAGGAGAGCGAAAAACTAGATCCGCATATATCATCAAATACAAAACAAAAGTTTGTCGGAAGTTCATCGGTAAAAACTCATTTAAAAAAAAAATAATAATAATAAACTTAAAAAAAAAAGCTTCGAAACGCTATAAAGAAAATAAAAAAAAACAGCGAATAAGTGTTTTCCCCGACCGTCCTCTAATTGGTTAGAAGCTATTTATCGCCATCCATCACTTCACTAATTCCGACCAATCAGATCATGACAACTCAACGAAATTCGCCAATGGGAGAAAACATCATTTGTCACTTGAATCTATTTCTTGTTTAAGCTATCTCTTTTTCATCCTATTTTTTATTTTCTCTTACTCGAAATAGAAACTACTTAGAGAAGAACGTAATAGAAAATAAGTAAAGGGAGAAAGAGCGAGAGAGGGGGAGAGAGAGAGAGAGAGAGAGATGAAAAATAAAATGACGCCGTTTTTCGCCAGTAGAGGGAGTACGGTTCGTTACATCAGAGCATGGAAGAATCATTAAATCTCCTCCTTTGATTTATTGCTGTCTTAACTCGTGCCAGATGGAACTATTACTCGGAGTCCGCACCAATTCCCACCCAGCCAGCACATCTTAAGCCTCTCCATTTGTCACTGTTTCTTCTAGGTGCGACGCTTTCGCTATCTCTTATCATGCTAATTCGAGCGGATTTCTTTTTCTATAAAGAGAGAGAACGAAAAAAAAAAATCATCCTCTTCTTCGCTATTACCCTTACAGATTTCGACTTTACCGTATTTTATAAACATTTCCGGCTTACCTTCCTTTGTTCATAAATTGAAAACTTTAAAAATCTAGTTGTTTGATTCTATTGAATAATATAAGCGTATAAATTCCAGCGATTGGATGATTTATTTTTGAATAAAACTGGTATATACTGTACTCTCACGCTATTGGGTAATTTGAATTTGTATCACCGTTGAAAGATTTACAAATTCTTTAATAAAAACGCTTTACTTATACGGATTAAATTCGAATAAATTTACACAAAAATTAATATTTCAAATTTCATTTGAGTCTTAGGATGAGTTATACAAATTATTACATAATTTTAATGGCGTACGTTTTTCAATTTATTTTTTTTTTTTGTCTAATTTTGGCTAATATTTGATGGATTTTAATTTAAAGATACATTACTTGAATTATAAATTGTTTAATATGACCATTAAAAATTTAAAAACAGAAATATATATATATAAAATATTCGATAATTGAAAGTAAGAACAACAGATGGCGCCATATAATTTTTTAAAATTTAATAATGTATATATATATATATNTAAAATATTTAAGATTTACATCACGAAATGTTATTAAATCGAATAGAATAATTTCCATAAATTTAATTTATTAATTATTTAAATATTATAAGAATTTATTGAAGAATTCGAATAATAAAACTAGCAGAAAAACTTAATTTACCGTTAAATGCAGCAGCTATACTTTCGCATTATATTTATCAGCGAGGGGCGTAGACTCGAATTCAACCGGACAGGCCCGTTTATTGTCCATTATCTTTTATCCTTTCGAGTGTCGAATATTACTAAATCGAACATTTCAAAAAAAAAGCGTCGAAGGAACCGCCAGTCTCGTATCAAAACGTAATTTACAAAAAAAAAAAAAAAAAAAAATTCACGCAGAGCTTACGCACGATTTAAAATACAATTGTCTCAAGTCACGCTTTTTAATTTTTGTACACTTGCAGATGGGGCAGAATCGAATTTTCTACAAATAAATAAATAATTAATAAACATTTTACTTTTTTATTATTATTAATAAATAAATTATCATCAATTAATGTACCTTTCGAATGTTTTTCCAACATAAAAAACAGCAAACGTGGCCGCAGAAGGCCATCATAGGAACAGTCGCTATATTTTCACAATAGGCGCATGTGTAAGCTGTTAAAATACAAAAAAAATAATTTTAATTTGCAATTGAAATTGTAAAATAGAAATTTTTAAGACTCAATAATTACCCTGCCCACAAAACTTCTTCATAGAATTTTTATTACTAACCTGTAATAAACTATCATTTTCAACAGACATATCACTGTCATTTCTCTCTAAATACAAACCATATACAGTATATGAATTTAGTTTATATTTATAATAAAATAATGTTATAGATTATTCTAATATTTACCAATTTTAAAATTAGTTTTGCATAAATTTATAAAATCGTTTCTCTGTTCACACGAAACCAATGGAACTATTACTGAAAATTGTAAGAAATTTTAAATGGAATTTTTTTAATTGATGACCACTCAAAATTAAAAAGAAAAAAATTTTTCTTACTGTTTAATAAATTTTCTCTTTCTGGAATGTTGATGAAAAGAACGGAAATGTCTTTGGCAAAATTACTGATGTTTTTATCATTCTTGTATTCTTTCACAACTTGGCAAAACTTGGGGTAACTGTTTGTAAAATTTAATATTCTCTTCACCTGTACATAAATTATATTAAAATAATTACTAAAAACATTTCAAATAATTTTCGAATTCATTAACATTCATAAAAATTATTTATAATGTATATTTTTCTTGTATTTGAAAAAAAAAATACTTTTAAACAAGGAACATTTAATTGAATAGTAACAAATATTTTTAATTTAATTTTCGTTTATGAACTCAATGAGTAACACTGAATTAAACAAATAATAAGGCTTACCATTAACAAATAATAGGTTTATCATTTGGCATCATTCAGAGGCCCTCTTCAAGTGTAATAACAAGTTACAATTCAACTGAGCCAAGAACATATAAAAACTAAGTAGAACTATAACTTTTGTTATTTCATCTAAAGAAGGCTTCTATATTAAGCCAAAAACATTTGTGACCGATTACTCATTGTGCTGGAAGTTGTATGGTAAGCATAAACTAGTTATTCTTATGACAATGATTATAGTTACTTATATGCAATTAAGAGTACGACTGAGATATAATGAAATAGTGCATTTGCTATTATTATTAATAAAAACTTATTTTTTGTTAATAATTTAATTTTGTATCATTAGCATCTACTTAGCATTAAATGTTCAAATATTTAAGTCCAAAATGCAAACATCTAGCATACAGATTTGCGTTACAATAAATATCTGATGAAGGATTGTTGTCCTCTATTTTTTGTGTACTCCTCCTCCTTGATATAACAAGTCCTTAAATAAAGTAAGGTTATCATGGACATTTTTTAGAATACTTATACAATGAGGACAAGAAGCAATTAACAAAATAAAATATAATACAGTGTCTTTCTAATCATTAACTTCACTGTCTGTTTTTATAAGTTCTGCAAATTTTTAAGATAATTATTGCATCCATACTAATTCTATCAATTTGAGTGAACTATATGTAAAAATTGGATCAAATCTAATAAGCATTCTAATATACCTGAGTTAACTTCTATGAAATTCCTGGATACATAATTCTGTTGTATTAAACTGAAGGATATATTTTTGTATGTAAACTAATTAATCTTTACAAATTTTTAATCTTAATTTGTTTTCACATATCTATCAAATCAACAGAATTTAGTATTGAATAAGTTGAATTACTATACTGGTTTAATTGACTAAGAAGACCTCCAAGTTACATAAAATTCTTTTTCTTTTTTTAAATTCTATTGATCTTATATTTTCATCAGACTTGTGTATTTTTAACATAATAATCAAACTAGTCCATACAAATTACTTAATTTTAAAATTAATTTGTACTATTTTCATCTGTTAATTTTAGTTTATTTATTTTAATTTCCCTTTTTTAATACATCATAAATTACTTCATTTAGTTTACTAGTAACTTATAATAAGTGCCAACATTAATTAATTCTACATTGCAAATAAAATATCTTTACCATCAATTGCCTTCCTTTTTCTTGATATACAAAAAAACTTGATTATTAGTGTTGCTTGTTACAAAACTAACAAATTCAGAAACATATTCCTGGACACATTGTTTTTCATCCTTTGCTATAAAAAGATTTATCTCCTAATTCATCTGAAGATTTATCTGTATCTTGCATAGTACTAACATTTTTTTTCACTTTTCATAGTCTCCAATCAATGATGACATTTATGATAAGTTATCAAAATTTACAAATTCTAAGTCTATTTGAAGATAGAGAGAAAATTTGTCAAGGCATAGTACAAAGAATATTAATTTACTTGTTTATTTATTTTGATTAAATCATTGTACTAATTCATGTAAATTAACAAAATTGTTAATAAATATAACAAGTAAAATGGCAAAGTCATATTTGGGACAAAACTATGTCTCGGAGACTCACTAGTAGGCGGGATCACTTTGACTTCAAGGCGGGTCTTGTTCTCATTCTCCAATCTTCTTTGGTATTGCTGATTTTGACCGTAATTGTTCAAACTTCGCTGGCCTCAACCATGATGTTGTCCACGATGCATTTTCGGTGAAATTAACCTATCCAATGTCAAAATTTCTCCCCATTGCGAGTTGCCCCAGGTTGAATTTTTTAATGCCTAACAAAAATTCCCCATTTTTGAAAAAAATAATCGTGGCTATTTTATCTGTATCGTCCGAAATTGTTTTTATTTTGCACAAACAATATATATATATAAATAAATGTAAAAAGAGAAAAAATTATATTTCGGTAGTTAGTTTTTAATATAAAATTATAACGACTAGCACCATCTACTTTCAAAAATGTTCCAATGCTGAAACGAGATATCTCGGGTCAACTGGTCAAAGTCAGCACATGGCAACCAGAGATATGTTGGGAATAACACAGGATGGGTAAATGAGTTTTTTCAAAGATTCGTTTGTCAAAATTTGATTTCACAACGTTCACATTTCCAACTTTCCAATAACTTTGCATGTGCAAATCTCACACTAGTGCCTGTTTGTAGAAAGTGTTGCCATTTTGTATTTTATTTTGACTTGGTTTTCAGTCCCAAGTACCTACAAGTCTGGTTTTTTTATGTGCACATGATTTGGGCACCTAATATACTGTGCCAAATTGAACTCCTGACATGTACTCCTTCATACCTCTAAGCTGGTAACACAGGATGGCACCGTGATTTTATAAACAAGACATAGTCTTGTCAATAACTAAACTTATCAACAATTTAACAGTAAAAATAAATCTTTAAGAACTAATTATGAAGTTCATTAATAATAGTCAATAGACATATATTAACCTAAATAATTTATTAATAAGTATTATTATTAATATAATAAGAGTTAGATATACTTCTTGCAGACGATTTTTCCATTTTTCTCGCAACATAGAATCTTCCCTTTTATCTATTGTACTTTCGTTTTTACCATTAATATCATGCAAACCAACATTTATCTTCCTTCTTTTAACAGATGTTTTTGGTATATCATCACATTTCGATTCCTGATATACATATATATAAAAAAAGCAATTTTCATATTATTTTTCCAAATAAATCTATAAATTAGTAAATATTCAAATTTATTACTTACTGAATTATCTTTTTTAGATTTTACTTCTAAATTATCTTCAAAGTTTGATGATGATGAAGCAGCCATATTTTCAAGAGCATCAAATATACTATTACTGTGTTTAGAACTTTCAGATAATTCTAATTAATAAAAATTAAATTTATAAATTATGAGTAATTTTAAGAAATGGGCTTTTTTAAAATTAATTCTTTATAAAATAAAGTACTTATTCTTAATTTATATATATATAGCTTCAAATTATAAATTGTATTTATAGTAAATAATATATTTTATTTAGAAATAAAATCTATATGCTATTGTTTATAGTTAAAAACAGTATTTTAACTGTTTAATATTTTTAAATTGTTATATTGTGACTTGCATAGTATACAAGATTTGGTTTCTATCAGCTTGTTTTTATACATAGTCTTCCACAAACTTTCTCTAATCTTCAATAATACAGAGACCAGAGATTCCCAGACTTTTTCAAGCCACTGCCCTCTTGGTTCCATAAACTTACATCCAATGCCCCCAACACCCCTAACCCATTTTTATTTGTGTGAGAAAAGCTTGGAAATATTCTTAGAAAACTTTTCTATGAACCTCACACTTTGTATCCTTACCATACATTGTTCTGCACATATGGAAACCATTAAAAACAATGTTTCTTCTTACCTGTTTTAATAAATAAAAGGGAAAGGTCTGTCAGTGACCTCAACCTTGGCCTATGATCACTGTTCAGTACCCTGCCTCCAATGCCCGTCTCGTACTTGCTTCTTTTTGCCCTCTTAGATTTACTCACCGACCACAAGGGGACAGTGGCACCACTTTATGAATCACTACCATAGACCTTAAACTTGTAAAAGCTACCATCAGTCTGATTGAGCACTTCTTAACAAATTTCACTTCACATTCAAGAAATGTTGTTCTTAAAGTCCATCTTGTATCAGGTCAAAAAAATGGAAGTTCAATGAAGCTGTCAGGACTGTTCTATTTTCTCTTCTTTATTTTCCATCATTTGGCAAGGGTACTTCTTTGGCTTCACTTTCATTCTTCAATATATTGTTTCTATAAGCCTAATTTCACACCTCTCTCATATCAGATTACCAATGCTGGGTACGCTAGTGATCTTTTACTTTCATACATTTTCGACTAGCAGCCAGTTTAAACATTGATTCAAATCGTGCTTGTTTTACTGCTATGTAGCAGGGTTGTACACAGTATGCTTGCTGTTGTCATATAACTATTGGATGGATTGTATGAAAACTCACAATTCTGCACACCTTAGTATGTCTAGCACCAGCTATTTGAAATTCAATAATGGGCAATGCTGAGATTTTATCTGATTATTTTCAGCTGGGTATCCCAGTATCTCACTGCTTGACAAATGTGTGAAATTCTCCCATAAAATCCCATATGCTTCATAATCCATTTAATACCATTTAAAGCTCAATGCCAAGACACAAGTAATTTCGATCTATATATAATTATACATATTACACTTCACTATTCTGACAACAACAGCAACATAACATCTGTAGGTCTTCAATGACTGTCAGTAACTCTATAACTTATTTATATTAACATAATATAAATATCAAAATATAATAATATATGCTTTAAACCAAACAAGAAATAAAATTGTAGAATTTTTTCCATCAGGTTATTTCTCTGTATACATAAATTAATTATTACATCAATTTGTTACTAAAGGCAAATAACTTGCATTATATTAATTACTGATTTTAATAATTTTAGAAATTAATTTATTTCTATATCAATTGGTCTGTGTTATTTATATCTTAAAACAAATTTTTGAAATAAATAAATATTAGGATTTATAAATAAATCAAAATTATACTAAGTGTGAGAAAACTGTTTAAGAAGTTAGCTTGTTTGTATTGTATAACTTTCATCAAAATGCTTTGCTGAAAATAAATTTACAACTTTATTTTATATTTTATTGTTAATATGAATTTGTAGTGAATTACAACACACCACACTGAATTGTTTTGTGTTTGTTATTATGAATTTGTAGTGTTTTTTTAATTAATATTACTATATGATATGTATAACTACTACTATCATCATCACCGTCATCTTACAAGAAATTTAATAATAATCCAGAGTATGGATAAAATATGTTTCCATGCTATAGAGATTTTTTGCATTGAGAAAGTTGCTCATAAACTGTTGCTTATTAATCTCATGTTATCTCAAAAACTTAGTAAATCTGTTATCATATATTGATTACCTTAAATACTAAATATATGTACATAAGTTTGACAGATAAAAAAGAAAATTACATATTTTTTCCTATCATCAAAAATCATGTCATCTATCAATATGTAATCTGCATGAATTATTTAATCAATTCATTTTAATCGAACAATTTTTTATAATCTGTTAATTTGATTTATAACAATTTATATGGAGAAGTTAGACAATCATAATATAATAAAATCAATTTATATAACAAATTTGAAATTACTACACATCAATTGTATATGTGAAAATATAAAATTAGCTAAAATTTTAAATAATGTATTTGTAATATATATATATTGCTTTTAAAATTTTAGCTATTATATATATACAGTATATATATGTATGTATGTATATTTATTTATTTATATGTATATATGAATTCAAACATAAAACTGAGAACTGATAACTTACTTTCTTTAGTATCATTATCTGGAAGATAACCTTGAATGATATTGTAGTTGTTTGATCTATTAAAAAGTAAATATTTACATATTAAATGCATTATATTTTAATCAATTTTATATTCTGTCAATAATGATGATGTAATACAATTTTGAATAATGTAAATAATAATAATAAGTAAAACAGCAAAGCCATTTTTGGGATGAGACTATGTCTCAGAAAGTGCAAGCAACACATCTCAAAATTTACTTTTCCCCCCTGCATTTTCAGCCTAAGTTCAATATATATTCTATGTATATCTCAAATAGTTTTATCCCAAATCCTCTATATCTCAAATTACAGACTGAAGTGTTGATTACAAATTCAAAGCTCAGCAACTACATTTTGATAGCATAAATTGTAGTTGAGAAACATCTCTTGCAATACAGTACATAGTTTCAATTAATGCTGCTTTCTTTTGATTGGCTACAAGTTTGCCTTACATCCTATTGGATGAAGAACATTGGGTATCAGAAACTAGTGACAAACTATTTCTGTTAAGGTATGTTAAAAATGTTTTATTTATACCTAATACAGATATGTACTGTACTTGCTATTATATTAATAAAATACCATACTTTTAATCAAACATTACTGTTTACTGTGTAAGAACCTCTATATCTCGAAATCTAACTCAAATTTTTTTCTCATTTCTGTGAGATTTAAGATAGGTAGATTCAACTGTATTTACATAACTTATTTAAGACTGAAATTTATTAAACACTCATCTTATGCTATTATAGTAAAATAATTTTAATTGAAATATAGTAAAGATTTCTAAAGAAAATTCTACAAATGTGAAAACAGAACAAAGGTAATTAAAGGTTAATGATAATAAAAACCACTTACATATCACTTTTATCAGTAATTGTTTTGGATTTTGAATGACAAACTGGAGTCACAACTATTTTTCTGGATGAAGAAATAAAACTTGCAGTTTGATTCTGTAATTTTGTCTACAAAATATGAAAATATAAAATGAAATGACTTCTAACTTACTATTTAAAAAAATTTTTTTTAAACTTACAAAAGATGTTTGTTCTATTTTACGAAAAAATCCACTCATTTCTTTCAATGCCGAACCAAATGAATTAAAAATTTTTATTCTTCCTTGTAACCACATTGATAACTGAGAATATATTCTTTTTTCTGAAAACCTATAAATGGAAATTAATTATCATACATAAACAATAGCAAAAATAATAGCAGGATATGTAATAATAATCTTTAATCCAAAGAGTTGCACAAAGCATATTCACAAACTGGTTTATTTCAGTCTTTGAGACTACATAAATTTAAAAACAGATAATAGATTTTCACATTAAAAAAATTTTAGTTTTTTTTCATTATTATTTTCTTTTAATATATATTTTATCAAACTTCAATATACTTTGAATTAAGATAAACCTTTTTTAAAGAAATATATTTTTAGAAAGAATATATATAAAGAAGTATATTTAAAGAAATATTTATTTTTAAAATATAATGAAAAATGAATACAACTTTATAAGAAAAATGGCAACTTCTAGATTCCTAAAGATAATTTTTTTCATGCCTTTAAATTATAAATTTTATGTTGTTTTTATAATAAATTGCAAACTTTTTTAATAATATGAAATAAAAATATTTTTTAAAGTATATTTTTATAAGAATAATTTAAAATTATATATAGAATTCACACACAAATTATAGATTAAATAAACTATTAGATTATTTGATAACAATGTAATTATATGTTTATTGTAATATAAAATTATTTATTAAATATTAAATTATTATAATTATTAATTTTGATAAGAGATCTAATGTCTACTTCTAATACCAAATTACTTAATACCTAATTATTAATAGTAATAAAAAATAGCCTGATTAACTACGGCAATTATTTAGTTTATTGTATGTTTTCATAACTCCACATATTAAAAGTTGTAGTGTATCATATTTCTTAAATTATGATAAATAAAAATTACAGTTGTAATTTGTCTAAAGTAATAATTATTTTATCACTGAAGTTAAATGTGAGAATCCGGACTTCAACATAAACAATTTAACATCATAACATCAACTTTGTCAACTTTCACACCTGGAGTATATCTTCATTTAAGTTCTCAGCGTCAATAAAGATGCTTTCACGCAACCTTCTGACCTGATGTCATCATTTTAATGTAATACCAATCGGGCAGTCAAGGAGTCGCCGCCAGTCCCTCGATAGTTGCAGTCGTCACCAGTCCCTCTAGGATTAAAGTCATTGAAATTTTCCTGTGTCAGTGCCAATCGTACTCTATCAGATTTTCACGTTACCCTTAACTCTGCTTAGAAGAACTTTCCTGGATTGATCCAGACCTGTTCCAAATGATCCAAATCCATACAACCTCAAGACCCTAGACCTCAGAGTCCTCCTGAAATCCAAATCAAGAAGCATCACCATCAACACAGGTATTTCCTGACTCATGAACAATTGCAAACTCTCTCTCTCTCTCGTGACCTCTAGATAGATAGGCCAAGTCAATGTAACATGATATATATTGTATATTGTATCTGGAACTCGATCATTTGCACTTATGATCATTTGCGTAACCTACTTTTTAACCCAAACTAAACTCATTGTGACAGCTTCTGTGTCAAACGAGATATGGAAGTGTCAGTCCTGATGAGGCATCAAAGAGGTGCCAACCCTCCAGTTACATAAATAAATTATAATGTCAATTTTAAATTGAAATTTATAAAAATTAAAAGTGATTTCTCATCTTTAATTTATATAAATATATCATATCTTATGATTGATACAATGCATCCAAATATGATTTACATTATTTTGTTATAAATATTTTCCACTTCATTTATGAGCATAATAATAGTATAGTCTTATCATAATAACAATATAGTATTTCAATAGTTTACATTGTTCTACTTTTATATTTTTCTAAACACTTAAACCTAGGAAGAATATCAAGAAAAATATCTTCAGACTTTCACTAAGTGGAAATTTTTTCCCTATTGTTATAATTGTTCAGATGGAAAACTATTATGCAAACTAGGATCACAAAAATATCAGATCAATACTATGTAATGAATGAGGAATTAATATTCCTTATCAATATATTCAACAAATATATTTATTTACTGACTAAATTATACTGAGAATGTAATTTATTTTTGTCAAAAATTATTTATATAATTTTACAACAGTGAGAAATGATCAAAATCTCTCAACTTTTAATTCAAAAAGATATATTTTAAAGTGTTCTCAATATACAGTATTTGTACAGGGTGTCCCACTCAGGAGTACAACTTTAAAAATGTGAATTACTCATGAATGTGTACACATATCATCATGCAACAAGGTTCAAAATATTCCTTATTTAATGAAGAATTGATTCACACAGCACGGCACCTGGTCCAATTTTCTTTGATGAGACTGTGAACATCGACCAATACTTGTCCATATTTGACGAATTTGTGAAACAACTGGACGACTATGAACTTCAAGAAGGTTATTTCCAACAGGATGGGGCAACGTGCCATACCTCTCATGCCAGTATGGAAGAGATCCAATCATTTTTTGGAGACAGGGTGATCTCGAAAGGCTTGTGGCCACCTCGATCGCCCGATTTAACTCCCTCAGATTTTTTCTATGGGGATATTTAAAGGGCAAGGTATATGCAAGCAAACTCATGGACCATTGAACAATTGAAAGCAAACATCGAGCATGAAATTACTGCCATCAACAGTGACATGTTGCAGAGGACATTCTCAAATATGGAGCGTCGCATCTCCTTGTGTGCAGATGTTGGGAGAGGACATTTTCAGCACCATTTGTAATGTGGACTTGTTTTCCACTAAATACAGGTATGTTCAGTTCTTACAGCTCGCCTTTACATTCACGTGTTCACGAGTAATTCACATTTTTAAAGTTGTACTCCCAAGTGGGACACCCTGTATTATAGATTATGATTTTCAATGACATTATGACATTTCATTTAATAATAAATTTATATCTAAATATTTTTGGATTCATAAATGAATTATGTTAGATTAAAATTTTAATTCTTAGGTATCCCCCTAGGCAGATTGCCCAAGTGTTGCATTGCCATAACTAAACAAACAAACAATTATATATTTACACAGTATGATGATTATAGGCATTTATTTGCATACTGATTAATTTGCAATTAGTCTAATCATCTGTACAGTTAACTAAGACAGTTTAATTGGACAAACATCCTTGCTTTTCCATAAACTTTTGCTTTCTGAAAAGAAATTCAGCAATTGATCCCATTTGTTTCAGCAAACTGGATGTCATTCCTCCAGAGTTCTAGTTGTTTCAGAAAAAATGTGCCAATTGATGAAATTGTTTGTTATCAACATTTAGTTTCAGATTCAGCAAATCAATCACAGGATCTAGTGAAGTTTTGGAAAATCACACAAAGAATATGCCAACATTTAGCAAGCTTGCTTTTGGTGCATTATCACTTTTAGGAAGTTCAGATGAAGTCAAATGAAGTTTTTCTACAATAAAGCTGTTTGACAGAAGAAAATTTAGATATTCATGTGAGATTGTCTTTTAATAAGAACTGAAAGTGTTAAATTCAACCAAAACTGAATAAAATGTAAGCATTAAAATAAATCATTCCTGATGGGGCGGTCTTACAGATAATAACTAATAATGATGATACAGATAATACACAAATACAAAATTTAGTTTTTTCACAATAAATAAATTTGAAAATTCAAAACTAAAAATTATTTTGTCTTTTTTTAAAATAACTATATGTAGACATATAATTGTTTCATTACTTTTCATATATTCAAGAATTTTTATTTGACTAGACAAAGTTATGATGTGTCTAATAGATTTAACTGACTAAATTATTCTAATATTCCTACAGATGAATCTTAATGCTTTTGAGAATATTTTATGGTAAAATTTTCTCCAAGGAGCAAATTTTTATGGATCATAATGATAATTTGTTTCTGAAGAAATAACTTTTTGCCTAGATACAGACAATCAAATCTAAAGTTGAGTAATTATCTGAAATGTTTCCTTGCTTATTCTACATAATCTTTGATCAATTTTAACCAAGTAATATTTGATTAGTCAACAAAATTATGAAAATAAAGTCCTTGTCATACAGTTATTGCATAAAAAAACATATTTAAGAAAAAACATAAGCAACATAAAAATTTAAATTCCAAATTCACCTATTATCACAAAACAGTATTGCTCCATAATCATTTCGATGTCGGATTACTCTTCCAACTGCTTGATTAACAACTCTGGAAGCTTGTAATAAATACCATTCGTTACCTGATAACCCCTTATAAAAAAGTTTTTCTTTTTAAGTTAACATATGACATTTAAAATAATTATAAATAATCAAAAACTTAAATTTCTATCTTACCTTCTCTTTACAAAACTCATTTAAATATGACATTTTTAATTTAACTCGTGGATCTTGACAAGGAGGAAATGGTAAACCAGTAATAAAAACAGCTCTTGCATTTTTATCTGAAAAATCTAACCCTTCACTAACCTGAAATGGGCATAAAATAAATAGGCTAATGTAAAAAAAATCAAACAGATGAGATTAAAAATAATAATAAAAGTTGGATATATATGATAATGGTATAAAAACTTGTAAAGATAAAAAAAAAATAGAAGGTTTTGTATGTTAACACTATAAAAATGATCAAAGAATAGTAACATAAAAATTACCTTTCCTCTACAAACAGCAAATAAAATTGCACCTGAAGAATCTGCAGTTTCTATTTTTTCATAATATTGGGTTATACCTTCTTGGAAAGCAATTTTTCCCTGTGGTTCAATAAATATACTTTTAACTGTAGATAAACTATTCCAAATTCCAGATTCTTCCCATTTGGCAACAGAAGAACGCAAAACAGAATAGGATGGAAAAAACACTAGCATACCATCCGGAACCATACGACCCAAATTAATTAAAGTTCTTCCTAAAGAATTTATGTACTGAACATTTGACCTAAAATTAAAATTTTTAAATCAAATATGCTAAGCTTATGCCAGAGAATCCTATTAATATATACGAAATTCCGGTGTGGAACGGAAATGATGTGATTGTTTTAACAATAAAAAGTGATTAAAACTTGCAGATCATTGTGACGTTTCACAAGAATTAATTGCTAATATATTTTGCAATATAATAATATATGAAAGAAAACCCGAAAAACTTTACTTGGCCACCCGCTAATCATGCTCGAACTGCGACAAACAGTTTTTAATGGTCTATTCAATTGGACACCGAAGGGCAAAGTTATTGTCATAATTATCATGTATCATTTAGAGAGAAATGATAATTTGAAGATATGAAAACATATTTTTTAATTAGTATTTTCGATTATTATTTCTCTTGTGAATTACGAATATAATTTTAGAGTTTTAAATTCAATTTTGTTCGTTCTCTGTAACTAGAATCTTATCATTATTGTTGAATAAACAATTTTATAGATTTATTCGATTGTCACGCACGTAACTCTGTAACATTCTCTTTTTATATAATCCAGATTGAAATTTTACGATGCAATTTAACTGCAATTTTGAGAAAATCAATGTATTGGATAAATTGAATTTCTAAANACTTTTTAAATAGTTTTTACTATAGTACTAGATCAGTATTAAAAAAATTATCTTAATTAAAAAAGTATATAAATATTATTTTAGAACAGAGATGTAACAATTAGCAAGTGATTAATTGTTTGTTAATCAATTAATTGGCCCCACAAATTAATTGAAACTTTATAATTAAATCTCAAATAATTGGAATAATAGGTAAATGGTCACTCCATTGAAAAAACATTATTACTTTTTAGATTTAAAATGATTAAATTAACATTAAAAAATGGGCACAGATATCTAGCAACCCTCCACTAACTATTGAATCCTTCCCATAGCACTTGGCTGTAATACATATACTTCAAAAGATGCATATTCTGGATACTATGTAAGTAATCATTGAACTGAACAGTAAGTAATCATGATTATGTAAGTAATCATGATTGAACTGAACAGTGTATATAATAACTACTTAATATTTATATAATACATGCATTTAATATGACAAATACAAACAGTGCCAAATATTTTCAGTATAAGTACAGTAGAAAGAATTTATGTACTGAACATTTGACCTAAAATTAAAATTTTTAAATCAAATATACAAAATTAAAATAATATTGATTCATTTAATAAATTCAATACTAAACTTTAAATTCAAGTTACCTATTTTGATATGATGAATTTAAATTAGTTCCGTCAGGTCCTTGCTTCAATACACCAATGAACACTTGATCATCATCAATAATATGAGGATTTTCTAATGTTACTGGAAAAGAAATTCCTAATTCAGCAGCAAAAGAATTTAGTGGAGATAAAGTTCCACTTGTAAGAATAAGACTGTGAACACCTTGTTGAATTAAATCCATCATGCTGTAAAACATAAACAAACAATATTTATACATATATTGTTATTATGAATCAACTACATATCTGTACATTGTATATCTTATTAGCTAATAATTTAGACAGTTTCTTTCCAAATTATTTTTCTTAATAGTTAAAACAATTATTTTAAAATTTTGAAAATCTATTTTATTATATTTAAAATAATAATCTCATACAATATACTGAATGATCAAAAAGTTGTCATGTATCTATATCGCAAATTAATATAACATAAGGACACAACGACTTTTTGATCACAATATATTCTTTATTCATTAATATAGGCAATGTAACAAAGACAACAATTGCCACTCCCACTATATAAAAATGCTGTTGTATGAATATCACAATGATATTAAAACAGATACAATATTCAAATAAAATAATCAGTAATTATTGTATTTTTTATAAATATAAAAATGTTCAAAGAAATAATAAAATAATAATAATTTTTAAATATCCTAAAAATGTACTTATTAATAATTCATGCAATAATAATTAGAGAGATAAATTTTAAAATAATTTATATGTTTAAGAACAGGGAAATAAAGTGGAAAGTGATCTTGAATAAGATGTAATTGTAATTATTTACAATCAATTATGCTCCAAAACTGGAATATCTTACATAACACATCTAAAACCAGCTAATATTAACTTAAAATAGTACATACATTTACTAATATTTTCATGTGTTTGTAACAGACAACCTCAGGTATAATATATATAATGCAGAATTTGTTCATTTTAGTTCTGCATTATAAGTATTATACCTGAGGATGTCTGTTACAGATAGGTGTGTAAATAAATTAAACATGGACATGTTTAATTTATTTACAGAATGCCAATTTAGAGATAGAACTAATACAAAAACTCAGATTTAATTAAAATAAAAACATTAGAAAGAAAGTAAATGAAAATATTGAAAATTAATATTTATATCTTATTGTGAAATCCGGAATTTTTACCAATTTTTTTTTTTCTAGAAACTAGAATGGAAAACAACTTGAAAGAAGGAAAAATTCCAACCTCCCCTTTTTTCAAGGTAAACATTTGCCCATCTCGACAATATTCCCACACTATGAACTTAAAAGTTGATAGTTAACATACAATTTCATCATCTTATTTGGGTTCCAGGGACAACTTTGACCTCCCCGCACACCTTTTACCTCGCAACTAATTTAGTCACATGACAGTTTTCCCACTGCAAAACGATAAAAGCCACTTCTCTCCCCCCTCTAGGGAGTCACTCATCAACGGTAGTAGTAATACATACTCTAGGATTTATTTTTAACTTGGTGCCCTGTTTCGAATCTCAACGTCCCGGTGGATTTTTTCCCTCTCTTGGAGATCCAAGTACATAAAAAGGTATGGAACCCACTTTTGTGAACACTCTCTCAGCCCTTCGCGCTTTAGGGACTCAGAATTTCCCCTCGATAATAGTTACTGTACTGTCTATATAGATAGCTAATAAATCATTGTTTCCTTGTTAAATTGGTGTCCTCTTTTACTCGTATATCGTCTGTCACCTTACCGGCGGCACTCCTCCCTCCTACCCAAAAAGTTAGTCCTGTTCCCTCAGGATAAACTAAAAATTTAAGCCATCTCTGACAAGTGGGCAAGTTCCTCTGACTTGAAAGCTGATCCATGGAGGTACGACGTAGTCATACCCCCTCGGTTCTCACATTATTAAATACCTTTCACAAACGTAAAGAGTTAATAAAAATCTTTCAATTAAAAAAATCTCAGAACTTTTTAAATAGTTTTTACTATAGTACTNTTAGCTTTTTATATTTTAAATAAAGTTTTATGTATAATTAATATGATTTGTTCTATTGTATATTTCTAATAATTTTTTATTTTTTAATTTAAAATTATCAGCAAAATAATTTTGTTTTATATAGTTTTCAAATATAGTAAAACCTTGCTTTATAGGCACCTTGCTTATGTGACTACCCTTGAAATTCCCTTGTAAAACTGCATAAGTTTTAATATAAATTAAACTCCACCTTGGTGGCCACTTACTTGAGTAGCCAAGATAGGAGTGCCCTAAAGTATTTATTCCTGTTTACATAGCCAACAAAATAGGAAAATATCTATTCTGTTTGCCACATATTTCTAAATTCAATGTATTTTTTTAAAGCGCTTTAAATGAAACTAAGCTTTATTGCTATTGTCTTGGAACAGTTTGCTGAAATCCGTCCAACAAATGTTCAAATAAAGTAAATATTTATTTACACTTCAGAAATTAAATTTTTCTCCAGAATTTAGTAAGAACAAAGATAATTATATATTTAGTACAATCAGATTTTGTAAACATATAGGTACATAAATCAGTGATGATCAGTCCACATCACTGATAGTTTTTACTTTTCAGTCTACAGGAAGGAACTAAGGTAGGAGATAGATCTAAAGTGAAAAAAATCTAAGCATAAAAGTGGGCATCTTAAACAGAAGCAAAAAAATACATCAAGAACTAACAGATGCTAAACTGCCAAAAGTTACAAATCATTCAAAACATTCAACAAACAAAAATATTGATATTAATTATTAATAAATAAATAAAGTTATGTACTTACATCAAAAGGGATCATTTTTTGACTGATTACCATACTTTTCCTCTGTTATATATAACAGCCAGAAAAGTAAAAATATATTTTAAAAAAATTTAACAATACTTTATAAATTAACAGACAAATAAAATAAAATTGTGAAATTAAATAATAAAACATATCATTGATAACATGACATAACATGATTGCTATCTTTTCAGAGAACTGAAAAGATAGCAATCATGTTAAATCAAAATAAGGTAAAAATATGGAATAAAGTTATGACTATACAACTGATAAGAAAAAGAAAGAATGTAAAAAGCACAGAATGGTCTTAGATCTAAAAATTAAGCATAGTTATTAATTATAAAAATTTGGAAATTCACCCAACAGTATGGATATAACTGTTGAATTGAGTTTGATTTACACTGGACCTGAAGGATGCAAAAGTGAAGAGAGCAAACAGAGTAAACAAGACAAACAAAGCAAATTTCATTCACACTGCAAATAGTGATAAGTGTGGTCACAAGTTGTAGTTTCACACTTTTACCAACAGATGGCATCTTAAAAAATTCAATACATACTGCAGTTACCATGTTAACATTCTTTTTGATTACTGTTGTGTAGGCTTATCAAAATTAAATTATATATCAGTATTATTTTCAATATGAATCTTTTTAATTATTGGATGCAATTTTTGTCCCACTCTGAGTCAAGAGATGAAAATGTTTTTTTTATTGGCTTGTTCTTGCCAACACACCCTAGCTATTATGTACTCCCATTGGCTGACATAAATATGTTTAAAGCACTTTGTGAGATTACATATGCTCACATTTATTCATTAGCTCTCTTCACTTTGTTATGTTTTGTGTCCTTTGCATCCAGTGTAAATCCATGCTTTATAGGAAAGAAAAATGTAGAAGTAAGGATCATTAGAAATGTATGCAGAATTATGGAAAACTAAATAAATAAAATTCACAAAAGATATGATTAAAATAAACATATACATATAAAGCAATTAATGTTTTTATGATCCTGTAAAATTGATAATTTAAATTAATAGAAATTATCATATAATAAAGTTTCTAGTATGTTAAATAATTTTAGAAATATACCTCAACTCAGGAGAAAAACACCAGTAATACAATGTCCACCCTTTTTTTGGTGATTTCTTAAAAGTGGTAATATTTTGTGAATCATCTGGAGATAAGTAAACCTATATATATGTAATTAAAAGATTTGATGAAAATGTAGAAAAGTAATAAATTTTAATTTAAAAATCAGTTTTAGTGCTATATTATAATGCTATGCTAATATGTATCTTTTTAATAAAGTCTGAATTAAAAAAGGTTCTTAAAGAGAAATAATAGAAATGATGAAATAAAAATAATTCAGATATCTCAAGTTAATAAATCAATCAGAATATAAGAGATCCAGAAAAAAAAAGTGTTTTTCACTTTTAAATAAATTTCATCAACCTTTGATTATATATGTGAAGTTTTATAGCATGAATGTTCATTAAGAGCCTGAAAGACAACACTGTATATTTTATCAAAAACAAAAATAATTTCTAAAAATATTGTTATTTTACAATAAAAATATATATTTAATTCACGCAGATAATCTCTGATTATGTGTGTTTAAGTCTCAAATTTCTCCCTTTTTCTGTATGTTAATCCATCTTCTAATTGGTATTATTGGATGCTCTTGTGTGAACTTTGTCTTGTGTGAATCTTTAAAGGATGATAAATTTCTAGTAATATCATTTTCCTTATAATGACTCAGAGACTGGTAAAGATTGTAAATAAAATAAGAAGCAAATCTTATATAACTTCAGCATAAATTTTGAACTCAATAAAAATACAGGTATACCTCGCCTTACGTCGGTAATTGGTTCCAGGAGAACGACGTAAGTCGAATTTACTTGTCTCCGAATCTACTTGTCACTAGGCTAAACCATAAATTTCCATTCCCGGTTCTGTATTTTATTTATTAATGCATTTTTAATAATATATGGTTAATAAAAATCTATTTTAAGCTTACAAACAAATAAATTTTAGTTTTTAATATAGTACAGAAAAAAGTATTCTAAATTTACGAATGCATGTACTGTAAATACAGAACATACTCGTATATATTTTAATATGATTTTATGTGCTTTAAACGTTTTTCTAGTGATATTACGACTTCAATATTTGTGGCGGACAGACGTAAAGTCGAATAAAATGACTTAAACTTGATTTTTATTTTTCCATATACTTTTTTGACAAACGACGTATAATCGGGAACGACGTAACTCGAAACGACGTAAGTCGAGGTATGCCTGTATAAAAAATGTATGCATTTCCTATTTAATTTAATTTAAAATGTTCTTTGTTCTCTTCATATAAATTTTTGTTGTTCCAACTGAAGACCTATATTAGTAGGTTAAAAATGTTTTGGTCTATTAAAAGATATTGCTGGGATTATATAAGGTGTGCCTCTTATTTTATGACTCGGAGAATTTATTTTACTGGTGATTTTAGCGCACAGTTCTCTACAATGAACAATAGTTAAGCAATCAACTCTCAAACCCATTTTGTTAGATATTGAAGCACATGTGCAACTTTCTTAGTAAAACAACAAAAAACTCATTCCTCTGTTTATTAAAGGCAGTTCTTATTTATCACTTTCTTACACTGTATGTTGTAGGGCAATCACTGCCACCAAAAACTACACCAGTCAACCTTGAATATTCTCCATGGACTTGACGCATCCCAGACTGCTCTTGAAACACTAAGTATACCATACATATTATCAAAGCACAAAACTTCTCCTATTTGATTTTTTTCAAGATTTTTATCATATTACTGCTAAAACTGGTAGTTGAATACATCATTCATTGCCATCAAGTTTTAAGATCAGTTTGTAGTCCAACAGCATTGTAGAGTTTCAAGGTCACTAGCTGTCAAGTGGAGTTGACAAGAGTATAATTCAATTTATAGTCAAACTCTGGCCAGTGGCTAACTTGATACAGTGTAATGCTGATATCAATTGTTGAAGATGAACATCAATCAACTTTGGAGTTGTGACACTATACCAAAAGTATGCACTATAGTTTGATGTCTAGCAAAGCAGAGGAATGACTGTTATGGAACTCTGCCATCAAAACATCATGCTGCCTTTAGACAGTAAAATGACCTTAGTATTTTCAGAATGGGAACCACATTGAGTAGCTTCTTCTAAACCACTAGGGTCTCTATATAACAAACACAAGTGTCTTGTACAAATAAAATCTTCATTGTTTGCAAAGGCAAATGTGTGTGTCGAGTTTTGGTATTATTTTTTTGTAATGGAAATGTCCTGAAATGTCATTATATTAGATCTAGTTGCATTTGGATTGTTAAATATATCTCTGGACAGAGCTGAATAGAGATACTCTATGATCAACTAGTACATATTAATTATTATATATATGTAGACAAATCACCTCAATGGTGATCACACTGCTAATATTTAATGTTGAATGCTCAAAGAATTATTTATAAAACTATTTTATCTCTGAAGATGAGTAAATAAAACATGAAACATGTGAGCACACCTAATCATGAAATTTTGCTGTCATCATATATTATTCATTTTGTTCAAATAATTTACATTGAGAGCAGAAATAAATTTAATATTTAGAATACAATAGAGTGTCGTTTATCCGAATCAATTGGGGACTGGGGTTGTTCGGATAACCAATTATGTATGAAAAAATATATTAATTTATCCTATGTTGAAATTTTTCTCCGTTGCGTGTCGCTTTGCGTTGAATTTTCATCGATGTTAAGCCTAACAAAGACTATTGTATCGTTAAAAATTATTTTTTTATTTTGTACAAACAAAATAAATATATTGAAAAATATAAAAACAATAAAAAATTATATTTCAGAAGTTAATTTAGTATCAAAAACGTAAAATATTTGAGTAGCCAAAGATTACAGCGCCACAGCACTGGCAAAAATTTAAATTTGTCAACTGGAATTCCTTCGGATAACCGACCTTCAGATAAACGACGCTCTACTGTAATATAACTCATAATTTTCAAAACTTTTCTTTTAATTTTTTATTTCAGATGATTTCATTTTATTTTCAATAATGATCTTTATTTCTTCAGAATAATAAGCTTTTCTTTAATTGAAAAATTTGGTTTTTACTAAGAATTACTGTGTGTATTTTTGTATCTGGTAACAAGTATTCACTAAATATTAAAAGAAATGGCAGAATAAGATAAAATGAAAAATAACTTCAAAAAAAAAATCATCAGCTAGAACTGGCAAGTGTGATATTTTGATTAAACATAATCATAGATAATGCAGACAAACATCAGTAAGAAATTCAGATTTAGTTCAAGACAAAAAAACATTCACTCTTTTTTTAAATGTCCAACTGTCAACTCTTTATTGACTAAGAACTTATGATTGATCAAATGGAAAATTCCATTTTCATACAGTTTCAAAATTAAAAATTTATTTATTTCAATTAATTTTTTATCTGTTATATAAATTTTAAAGATAATGCCTAAAGGACAATAAATCACCTTCCCTTGAAAAAACATCATAATATATGAAAATTAATTACATGAAAGCAAAGAGAATTAAAATTGTAAAAAATAAATAGCAAACAATATAAATAATAACTGGAATAAAACAGTAATTATGAACTAATATAAATAATCTTACACTGTTACTTTACTCATCAATAACTTTAAAATATATTTCATTTAATTCTGACATGAAACAATTTAACACACACAAAGAGAGACAAGATAAGAACACAATTTATGATAAAAAATTATTACTAAATTAACTCACTAACTTAAGTATCAATATCCAAATATTTTTGAGCAACAAAGTCCATCAGGAGAACAACAACAAACTAATTTGACTAAAAACTCATCTAATTACTTCATCCTTCAAACTGCTTTTGTACAAAGAGAGTATAAAAGGTAAAGTAATGGCAAAGACTCAGAGCATTTGCCGACTGCTTGGAAATGACTCTTAATTAATGAAACTTGATTAATGAACTTGGAAATGAGAAATTAATTAATAAGTGCACTTTGTTCCCTATTGAGGTTTTGAGCTTTATGAAAAACTGGGATAGGTAACATTTAGAGGATAAATCATTTGCATATGGTTATTTTACTTGAGAGTGATGTTTTGTTATAGCTATGTTTGTTGATAACATTTTACAATTTATATCAAGAAATTTAGAAAATAATGTTACCATTCTATCATACATACAACTAGTATTTTTTCCTAGTAGGAGTAGAATAATTAGCAGATGAAGCATCAACAGTTTTAGGTAGATAATCATTCACATTTATGTAAACAGCTATAGAAAGCATTGTAATCAAGCTAGTTCATTGTTGCTGTCCTGATGTTAAGCTTGCTTGCCCAAAAGTACTTGGAAAAATAATACAGTAAACTGGAAGTAGTTTGGATTTCTTATTTTCTGGACACACACTAAATGTATATTCAAAATATAAAAGAAACAATAAAAAGTGAAAAAATGATATTTTATGTAATACACCATGTTCCAGCAGTCACACAGGAATGAGATTCATGTAATTCATATGCCACAGAAACCAAAAATAAAGCAACTGTGCACTGAACTACAGTCTTCCAAATTCAAAACCCATTCCAAAAATAGCCTGTTTTTTGGAAGCCAGATATTTGGTCTGGTACTTACATGATTTAAGTTAGTGAGTTCTAATAAAGCAGAGTTAATAATTAAGTTATAAAATTCACTGTTTCATAACTTAATTAAAAAAAGAAAAAATGTAGGATAGATTTTAAAGAAACTGAACAGCAAAATTTTCACACAATATTTTTCTGACTAGATAAATCTGATTACTCTATTTTATGTTTATTAGTTGATCAAAAAAGATGACTTCAAGGTCATTGTTTGGCAATATTATCAATATCAAATACTATTATAATTAATTAAAAACAGAAAGAATTGTGGATAAGGGAAAGTAGTATTTTATTAGTATTGATTTTTAAACTAAATGCTTGAAACAAATTGAATAAGCAAAATAGATCAGATTGCATTGTATTAGGCTCACTACCGTATTCTAATTAATTAATAACAAACAAGTATATATAAATTAATTACAGTTATTATTGTTAATCTGTTAACTATACAGTTTTAAATTATATATGATTCTAGTGTCATGATAAGATTTGTTAATTTTTTGATAATTATAAAAATAAACACTAAATATTTTTGTTTTAAAATATTCAGGACATGAGAAAAAAGTTAATATTCTTAAATCTAATTTTCAAAATCAATTATCATTGAAATATATAATCAGAATATATTGTACATATAATTTTTTAAAATAAAATAAAAAGTTAAAATAAAATTTGTATACTTAAAGAAAAAAATTTAAATCTTACTCTATATTTTTCATTAAAACTTTTCACTAAACTTTGATTAAGAACAGCTGAGTTTGAAAACATGATTCTTATCAAATCTGAAAAACATTGAAGTCCAGCTCCTTTTGTTACCCATGATGAAGTTGCTATTTCCATGGTCAAATGAAGGATAATTTTATCCAGTAAATCTAAGACAACTTCTTTTTTCTGTGCAGTTAAACCAACACTTGCAAAAAGCTTAAATAAATTAAATATTAATAAGTATAAATGTTAAGAGATTAAATGTAATACTAAAATAAAAAATAATGACATTTTTATTTTATGTCTTATTCTTTAATTAGAAAAAAATGAAATCATTAATATAAAAATAGTGAATATTCAAAAAACAGTTCAGTTTACTTTTTGAGAATACCTACCATATTTTGCCATGTGTAATGTACAGTACACTCATGTTTTTGGCCCAAACTTTCAGAAAAAATCTTTTGCTTTAATTTTTTAATTAAAATTTTTATTTGTTTACATTTAGGTATTTTGTTTTTTGTATTATAATGGAATTTTAGCATTTATTTTTTAATATATGGTACAAGAAACTTCATGTAACAAATTATTACAAAACACAAGAACAGATACAAGGTAAAAAAATTTTAGATACTGGTAACAAATTTACATTTACATATCATCAAAGGCTAAAAACTCTTTGTCACTGTCATTATTGATTTCTGGAGTTACTTTTTTAACTCATAAGCATAAATAAAACAATTAAAAACATTTATATTGATACAGAATTAGTACTACCCATGTATAATGTACATTCTTATTTTTCCCTCACAAAATACAGTATGTTACAATTTTTCATAAATTTAAACAAAATATAGTTTAAGGACTTCTGCAATCATCAAAAAATTGTTATATCAGAATCATAAAACTATTTTTGATATTTTTTAGATTGGTAACATAAATTTCAAATTTAACATTTCTTTAGAAGTCCAAATTTTTTCCCATAAACTTTTTTACTTTTTTATGTTCTCTAAACATGCTCCCATTAAGAAAACTACTATTTTTCTTCAATGTCTTATAATAAAAATAGAAAAGACAAGAAATTTCAAGTGAGAGCATTTAGTAATTTTAGATCAGATTTTCCTATATGATTTTGTATGTGCTCTCATAATATTTAATTAGCTTTTTATATTTTAAATAAAGTTTTATGTATAATTAATATGATTTGTTCTATTGTATATTTCTAATAATTTTTTATTTTTTAATTTAAAATTATCAGCAAAATAATTTTGTTTTATATAGTTTTCAAATATAGTAAAACCTTGCTTTATAGGCACCTTGCTTATGTGACTACCCTTGAAATTCCCTTGTAAAACTGCATAAGTTTTAATATAAATTAAACTCCACCTTGGTGGCCACTTACTTGAGTAGCCAAGATAGGAGTGCCCTAAAGTATTTATTCCTGTTTACATAGCCAACAAAATAGGAAAATATCTATTCTGTTTGCCACATATTTCTAAATTCAATGTATTTTTTTAAAGCGCTTTAAATGAAACTAAGCTTTATTGCTATTGTCTTGGAACAGTTTGCTGAAATCCGTCCAACAAATGTTCAAATAAAGTAAATATTTATTTACACTTCAGAAATTAAATTTTTCTCCAGAATTTAGTAAGAACAAAGATAATTATATATTTAGTACAATCAGATTTTGTAAACATATAGGTACATAAATCAGTGATGATCAGTCCACATCACTGATAGTTTTTACTTTTCAGTCTACAGGAAGGAACTAAGGTAGGAGATAGATCTAAAGTGAAAAAAATCTAAGCATAAAAGTGGGCATCTTAAACAGAAGCAAAAAAATACATCAAGAACTAACAGATGCTAAACTGCCAAAAGTTACAAATCATTCAAAACATTCAACAAACAAAAATATTGATATTAATTATTAATAAATAAATAAAGTTATGTACTTACATCAAATACAAAACTTGCTGGTTTTGCACTACCTTCTGTTAAATTACTGATTTCTTTGTCTAATTTCTCTTCTAATTCACAAAACATTACTTTTAAAATAGAAAGATCTGAGAGAGTAAATTCTGTATTCTCCGAATTAGAATTAAATTGCCCAACAATTTCTCTATCTTTAATATATTCAATTGCTTGTGTGATCTAAAATATAAAATCAGATAACATTAATATTATGCATTATCTATATTAAATATAGATTTACAATAAAGTAAATTAGTATTATTATTTAAAAATGTTTTCAGCATTTTTAGGTCAACTTCAGTTACAGAAATTCTTAGTAACAAAATATCAAATGTTATAGAATCACACAACAGTTTACATCCAAATTAATATACAGAGCATCATGTAATTAGTGATATAAGCAGGAAGATTGTGATTCTACATGAAATACTAAATTGAAAATATAGAATAAAATTATTTCATATGAGGCTTTGTTTCTGAGAAAAATGGCTTTGAAAATTTATTGAGTATGCATGCACTTGATCAAGATTCAATGGATTTCATGCAGATTATGTCTAATAATGTTCAAGTTAACTAAAACAAGTCAAGTTACTAACATTCATGTTAACTTGTTGAATGTGAACTCCATAACAAAGAAATGGTTCAAAACAACCATGCTCTTCAAGAGTTTGTTCTGCTCTCTGAATAACTTGATTAGGTTATTGGTCTTTGTAATAATTAGCTGCAGCAGAAACATTGCTGTCACATGCACCAAATGCATAAATCACATCCATATACTCTCAATTTCTGTATGTAGTCATATTGGCACTATGATAAAAACTAAAAATTTGGTTTTGAAAAGCATAAGAGAAGAGTAAGAATGATACAAAAAAAAAAAACATAACATTGATATTACTTACAGATACATCAAGTAACACAGTAATGTTTTCAATACACTCAACAGTAAAAATAGCATACAGTGACATCTGTTGAGTTGATCTTGATGAAGTGCATGTGTATCCAATAAACTTTCAAAACCATTTTTCTTGGAAACAAAGTCTTCTACATAAAATTTTATTCTATGTTTTTGATTCAGTATTTTATGTATGTTCAACTAATGTACTATTTTCACACCTTCTTAATGAGAATTATCACTTAAAAATTAATAACTGTATAGTGTATTTATCTTACTTAAAATTATCCCATTTTAGTTAATTTTCTTCATTTATTTTTGGTTCATTTTCTTCTGTTGTTTTGTAATTAAGCTCTATTTAGATTCATTTTTAATGGTTTTTTAATACATATATTTATGTATTAATTTGAATTTAAACTGTTGTTCAATTTTATAACATTTGATATTCCATTACAAGAATTTCTATAATTGAAGCAAGTCAAAAAAAAAGAAAAAATATTTTTTACAAAAATTCCCATTGGTTTTTTGGGTAGTCAAATGCAAAGCATTTGACTACCCAAAAAACCAATGAGAATTTATATTTTTATAATATGATATCAAGAATTTTGAAATCTAAAGTGAATAGTATTAATTTACTTTTTCAGATTAATTTAAAATCACATCAAATATTTAAATAATAATAATGTTTATCAATCAAGCTAAATTTTAATTTTGTAAAGTTATTATGTCATTCTTTCACTATATTTTATATGATTCATCAAACCTATCAGAGAAACTTAATGAATTTTCGCTTTTCTTTCCTCATTTTTTGTTCCAGTTTAAAGAATAAAAAATGATTCTTCAAGTTTGATTGATATTGTACTGTAGAAAACTACTTACATAACATTTCATAGTGTTTTCAATACTATTATTCTAAAATGTGTTATATCTTTCTTTTTAACTGTTAAATGAACAAGGATAATATCAATGATAACACTTCAAACATTTAATAAGCAACATTTTTAACTATTAGAATGCCTTTTACATTTAAAATTATATTGAACAAAAAGATTAATTAAATATTTATAGAATTCAAAAACACAACTTTAAATAAGATTAAGCTAAATCTCAATTTTAACAGATTGATAGGTGAGAGAAAAGTCACACTTAGATGATAACCAAATCCATACGCTCTAAATGACATGATCTCAGTCTCTTATTATAGAAAACTTATTTCCAAGGGCATAAATATATAATTGTTCTAGAAATTTGAGGGGTAGGTTAGATTTATCTTCCAAAAGTAGAACTGATTGTTTGTCCAAGGCCCATTGCATTAATGATATAAGATTGGGATCACAATGAAGTCTTGTGAAAAGTTAAAAAATGTTCACTCAGCTTTTTATTGATTAATCTGAAGGTAGAAGCTATATAATAAGTCATTTTTGCAATTAAATAATTTTACCAAATATATTTCCATTTTGCCTTTACTCTTTATGGCATCTTTATCCAAATAAAAAAAGATTAATCATACTAGGCTGTCTTTGAATTATTAAAAAAAATTTTTTTTCTTGGAATTTCGTCAGATGATGATATTTTTTAGTTAATTGAAGACACAGACTGTCCAAAAATGACCAATGTCCAAAAATTCCAAGATTAAAAGTTTGCAAAGATTTGTCACCAGGAGAAGCCATAGAAATCTACATATACCAGTGCATTTCTTCAGTAGATATAAAGGCCGAAAATCCCTGAGTGGAAAGGATGAAGAACATGAATATGGCTGTAAGACCCATGAACTCTTAGTTGAAATTTTATAATTTTAATTAGATATTTTTTTGTGCTTTTTAAAGGAATGTTTGTAAACTTGACAGCCAAGTAGCCTAAAAAAAGAAGGTCAGGTCGTCAATAAGTTTGTTCTGGAACACGTGAAGTGAATAAATAATGTCTATCAAAAATTTTTTTGGACAGTCTGTGTCTTCAATTAACTATTAAAAAATTATTTTTATGTCCTTAATAAAGAGTTTTGTAGTGTAAGCTAACTCTCTACTTAAAATTACACAGTTTTTGTTAATCTTTTGATTTTTTGAGCAACTTAGGAATATTGTGCACATGAAATCTATTATGCTCTAACCCAAATGGACCTCAAACAAAAAAGCAAAGTATTATGGAACAAAATTGTTTTTGAAAGAAAGCATGGAAGAAATCATTATAATAGCAAATAAATAAATAAGTAATTTGGAAAGATTTATGAGAAGAAATAAAGCAAATTGCTACCAGCCATGGAAATGACTGTGCAAGAAGGAAAGAATAGATAAAATGATGATAGTACAGTAAGACCCCACTTAACCCGGGGAATGCATTCCCAGACAAGGTACTAAGCAAAACAGTGTCAATTTAAATGAGGTCATTTTCACATAGAGTAAATAGGGATAGGGAAACACGCAACCGAAAATTTAAAAAAAATTTACTTTCATTTTAAGTTATTTTTATATTAATTTGCATAATAATATATGTTAAATAACACATAAATATATGCACACAGAAATGTAAAGTTCATTTTTTGTGATGAAGATCCTGACTTTTTGAAATTCTTGTTCTTTTGCAATAAAGTCACATAGTTTCATTTGTCGCTTTTTTCTTTCCTTAAGCAAATGTCGGTAGCAGAAGATTGCATCCAAAACGCCTTGGTTTGCTTTTGCCCTCCTTTCAAAATCTGGATCATTTGCTACAATTTGATCAGCAATTTCAGTTATCATTATCAAACTTTTATTACGGAAATCTGTAGAGAAATTCTTTGGGTTCTTCATTTTTAGAATCTCTATTTTCCAGTTCTACATGAATTCCTTGTTCTGCCAGTTCTTGAAAGTCGTCGTTGGTAAGGCTCTCACCAGAAACCTGCAGTAACTCCTCAATACCCTGCTCATCTACATCTCCTAGTCCTGCTGTATCAATTAGGTTGACAATTTGATCAATCTAACAATACAGCAATAGGCTCTTCTCATTGAGAATTCTTCGATAACTTCAGCCATAACTTCTTCCAAACTCCGTTCATGCATTTATCAGCTAATTCTTGCCAAGCAAAGTTGATATTGCCTATGACATCCATGATGTTATATTTTTTCCAAAACTGCACCAAAGAAACAGATTTAAGGAAAGTACGCTATGACAAATAGCCATCTTTTTTAGAAATATTTAGTAAGGAAGAAAACAATTTTTTGAATTTTCATAAAAACCTCTGAGGTTATTTGAAGGAAGATTTCTGAAATTTTGCAATAGTTTCTTTCATGCTGAGAGAAAAGTTCTTAATGATACATTTTTAGTTTTTGATTTATTTATTACAAAGTACATAATTTTGCATTTTTATCATTTCTGAATAACCGAATAACAATGTTATTCCAAACTTTATCAGTTGCATTTATGTTGTCAATAATATAGCATCAACAAAAATAATAAACAACAACAACAAAACATGGAACTAGTAATAATATAAAGATATAAAATCATTGAAGATCTATCTATAGACATTGAAATCTAAATACCAATACTGTATCAAAAATAAAGTAAATGTATTCTCATTAATGAAAGTATAATGTTGTTCTAATTCTCAGGAAAAGTTTATTTTCAAATCTTCTGATTTTAATTTCAGAGTGATTTTTAAGAATAAAAGAAACAAGTTCTAGTTATAAAAATTTGATAAAATATCTTAATTTGATCTTTACCCTTTCAAAATAAAATTTATAGAAAATATATTTTAACAGATTTTCATTTACATTAAACAATATTATATTAATAGACAGCGGACATATAGGCCCTTAAAAGTGGCGTTTTAGGCACTTAAAATAAGCTCTTAAATTGCGTCGTTTAGGCTTTATAAACAAAAAATAGGCATTCAAAATTTGCACAATGAACAATTAATGTACTTATTAGGACAATGAATTTTTTATTTAACATATGTATTCCAAACAAAAATGCACGTATTCAGAATGATGAAAAAACAAAAGTAGACAAACAATTATCTTTACATTTTTTATTCGCTCTGTTTCCCATAGCTTCATAATATATTACAAGCACTTTTTCCAAATTTTCAACGGAAAAGTTGCAACATTTGTCACTGAGAATTAATTTATATGCAGAGAAAGAGCATATAATCCGTTATATTCAGTAGATGTGGAACACATCTACTGAAGATAATGGGATTATATTTCAACCTTGAAAGAAGATGAACTGGGAATTCACTTTTGCTCTTCTTTCTTGCCAAAATATCAGCCACAATAAACAAGCACTTTAATCCAAGTCTCTTTTGAAGCACTGCTTTCAACTCTTTCTTCACTTTTTTTGCTGTAGTGCCACATGCATCACAAAGTTTCTGGTTTGCTCTGTTGAGAAGATCAATTTGTTCATATATAGGTTTCCCACTACTTTCAAGTGCAGTAATAGTATCTTCAATGAATGTGAAATAACACTTGATGTACTGTACATCAACTTGTTCTGAACATAAATATCATTCAAAATTTTCTTGGCTTTAGTTACACAAACTGTATTGTCTGCTAAAGTGGCCAGAAGTTTTTTGATATCAAAGAAATGTTCACTGTAGTAGTTAGTAAAAAATCTTAGTCATGTATATGCTAAGGGAAAAATAGGCATTTGCCTAAAACCCGCTGTCTAAAAATGACAAATAAGGCATCTCTAACGCTATATTTATTAAATAAAAGTATTTATTTTAAAATATTTCATATAGTTTTAATTTTATTACTATAAAATTGCATCAGGGGTGTAATTTATTTCTGTTATTATTGCATTCTAATTTTTTCTGCTCGGATATGCATCCACTGGGACTTAAATATAAGTAATCAATAATAATAAAAAACTGAATTTGTCTGATTGTATTTTCAGGAAAAAAATGAAACTTAAGCAGTTTAATTTAAGAATTAAAGTAAACCTTTGTGGAAAATAAAACGAAAAATTAATAAAAACTTTTAAAAAATATGAAAACAGACTAAACTTTGTGTTTTAGGCAAAAATAGGCAGCAACGTCAAAATAAGCATGTTTAGGCATTATAAAATACCATTGTTTTGGTCTAAATGTTCATGAAAAGTGTTTGTACGAAATCTTAGCCAAGTAATGCAAAGGAAAAAATAGGCATTTGCCTAAAATCCACTGTCTATATATTAATAACATAAAAGTATTTAAAATAATAATTACTGAACATTAGATATCAAAAGACTAATTTTCTGAAATCTGTTTTTTGAAAAGTGTGTACCATAACAGACTTTTTTAAGAAAAATCAGCTTTCTCTGGAAAAAAAGTCTTACAAATCATTTGCAGATATCTGATCAAATATCTGAAGGTGGAATTAAAACTGACATTTATAATATCTTAGCATAAATAGTTGCATCTAAAATAAATATTTGTATATTTTTGTGTACCCTTGTGTGTTTTGACCAATTTAAAAATATAAATAGTTTTAATTTTAGACAAAGTTAATTACACATTTACTTTTAATAAAGTTAAATAATAATTGATATTTTCTGCTTATAATTATCTACCTCAGTGATGCAACGTGCTAGATCTGAAGATCTTAACTGGAAAGACATGCTATCTTCACAAACATTTTCAATGTTATGTGCTTCATCAAATATAATAACATTTTTAGTAATTTCTATGCCATGAGTTCTTCTTGTTTTTGGATCAACCAAATAATTATAAGGAGTAAATATAATATCAGCTCTACTTTTTAGTGATTTTGCTGCATAATATGGGCAACATCTAAAAAATATTAAAATTATTATTTATTTAATTACTTGAAATTATAAATTACAACAATATTTGCTACTTTAATACTCACGTATTTTTCTTTCCTGCTACAATTAAGTCTTCTATATCAAGAATAGAATTATCCTGGTAATCTTTTGAAACAAGTTTGTTATCTAAATTAAGATTGAAAGGACAAGTATGATTTGTTACTTTGTTCTTACAGGAATTAAGTTTAGCTGAGTTGCTGTGTAATTTTGATACTTCTGGATGTAGACATAACTGATCACGTGAACCAAGAACAATTGCAGAAACACTATAAAAAAATTATGTGATAAATTAAAAATAACTCATTTAAATTTTAAACTGATACAAATAAGATTTCTTCATCAAATGTTAAAAAAAATTTATTTCTTAGGCTGCGTACACACTAGGTGTTTTTGGCCAAGCGTGCGTTTATAGATTTTTCTTAAAATGCGCACTTTGAGATATGTGCTGCCATGTTACTGTACATTCAATCGCACGTTTTCGGGTAGAGTGGACGTACGTTGGCCGAAATGGAGAATGATCATTTTGATACTGATCTATTTATTGATGAAATCTAAAAGAGACCAACCATCGTCAAAGGATTTTATAGATATTTTAAAGAATTAAAATACTTGGGTTTATTTTGTCTTAGTTTTGGATACATGTCGCAAACATTCCATGTGTCAGTCTATCTCGTAATATTGGGTACACCCAAAATTCTCTTTGCCTCTGCCATCGTCTTTTATAGCGACAATGGAGGAGGGACACACAAGCAATTACTTTCACATCCATTTCCAAACTGAGCCAGTGTGTATGCTCCACTAAACGCTCGTCTAACGCCGAGCTAACGCCTGGTGTGTACGCTGCTAATGCGCGTTTAACGAAACGCAAAACGCCTAGTGTGTACCCCACAGCCTTACAGTGTATATAAAATTACATTTTGTTCAAGCTAAATACAGTAGTGTCTGCTTATAACAAACCTGTACAGACCATCGAAACTGGTTCGTTATATCAGATAAGAAATAAAACATAGTCGTTTAACATGTCAAAGATAAAATGTAACAAATTATCACACAGGAAATCACCCATTAAAATATCAATATAAATGCACATGGTTACTTAAAAAATTCTATTTTTGTTTGTTGATTTTTGCAAGTTGCATAGCATTCTGTAATATACAGTTTCACCTCAGCAAAACTATTTAAAATATTTTGTAGAGTATTATGCATTTGTAAAAACTCTTGAATAACAACAGTTTTTTTTTTTTTTTGCAAAACTTCAGAAGTTGATATTATTGGAACATTGATACAGTCTGTGTATGTTGTATTGGCATCTTCATCCTCATTCATTTCATTATTTTTGGAAGACACTGAAGCTACGATGGATGATAATCCATCAGTAAAAAGTTCTCTACTAACAACACTCATCAATCCTGGCATATTCTTCAAAAACATGCACCCAATAACTGCAGTGGGAGCACATCTTGAACACTTGAACACTTTTTTGTTTCATCATTTGTAAGTTTACTTTTCAAAAGTTCATCGATTAGAATGTCATCATCTGAATCAAACTCTTCTCAATTAGTTTGTAGAAAGCCAGCAAGTTGAAAAAAGTTTGCTATTGTTTGCATTGATACATTTTGCCATGCCATAAGGACAAAGTTTATTGCATCCCGATGATTTATAGAAAATGATTCTTCACTGAAGTTATCATTTTTGAAAGGAGAATTCACCAATTATTTAAACTGTGTATAATCCCTTGATCTAAAGACTGTAGTTTTGAACTTTATATTGGGTGGCATGAACACTAATGTAATTCAATGTAAATTCTTGATGTTTGGATGCACCAGGCAGTTGCCAATCAATAATAAAATTTTTTGTTTCTTTTTCTCAGTTCTTCATTCCGTTCTCACAGTTTGCCACAGAAAATGTCAGGTTATCCAAGCTCTTCGGTTAGATTTGTAGTTTACTGGTAGCAGTTGATTTTTGAAACATCTTGGATTTTTCAATTTACCAATTACTAACAATTTTTTTTCCATTCCCATAAGATTTGCTGCTAGAAGAATAGTAATTCTTTCTTTATATAATATTCCTCCTGCACAGCTTTCTGTTTTGAATTTTAGTATCCTATTTAGTGTAAGCTTATAAAAAAAAAAAAAAAGACATGTTTCATCTGTGTTAAAGGTATCACAATCTTGGAAATTTTCTCTAATTTTAGGGCCACTTATTTTGCAACTAGTCTTCTACCATGTCCTTGCTTAATGCAATACAATGTCTTTTTTTTAAATCTCTTGATCCAACTTCTACTGCATTTAAACTCAGTACTCTTTTCTCTTTTCCAATTTGCTTCCTAACTTCTGCTTTTGACTGCAATATAGCACCACTAATAGTCATGTTCTTAAGTTTCTGTTGAGAAAACTATTTTAACAATACTTGATCTAATTCAACATGCACTGACTTCCTAAGCTTTTTAGCATTCAAATTATCACATTCAAAGCTAAAGAGTATTTTGTCATTTTTTTTCCAAATGGTAGCAACTATCAATTTGGTTACATTCATTTCTTTACATAATTCGCTTTTCTTTACACTGCTTTTCAACCTTTGAATAATTTCATATTTAGTCTGTAACATAAAAGACTTATGTTTCTGCTTAAACTGATTAGTGCTTACAGTCATCATATTTCACAAGAATGTATGCACAGTACTTTATAATTCTGATTTAGTGAACAAACAGCAAGAGTTACATAAGAGTTACAAAATTACATACAGTTCATTATTCTTTATAACCAACATCAGTAAACAGAATTTTTCTAACCAATAACAGCATAAATTATAAATTTTGTGATGGTTTGATTTTGAAATTCAAATTTGAAATACTGTATTTACAGTTGAAATTTTCTAGTCAATAAAAAGCATACTTTCAATTTCCAAATGTTAAATGAGCAGGAAATGGTACAAAATCATTTAACTGTTAATAACGGATCAGAAATAACATTTAAAATTTAAATTACAGCACTAACAAATGAAAATCTTGACAGTGTAAATTTCTAAGTTCATTGTTAATGGGTCAGTAGATGAACCTCAGAAAATATCTTAATGAAGTAAGAAAACTGGTACAGTTCAGAGTTTAAAAATTTAAATTTGTGATAAAAAATTAGGTAAATAAATGTGTGCATTGAAATTAGTTACAGTAGTTAAAAGCAAAAATACCCAAAATTAAGCAACATTTCTCATATTAGGTCATTTTAGATCATGACTTCTTACATTTTGTTTAAACCCTTTCATGTCACTCACATTATGTTATGGGAAAAAGTTTTTATTTAAAAACCCTAGTAATAACTCAAGGGTATTCTTTATACTCATAATTTGTTATAAGCAATAACTTTCATTTTTTTTAAATCCAAATATTGTTCATTATATATGGAAGTCCTTTATATACAAGTTCATTGTAACCAAAAAAAATAACATCATTCTTATGGGTGAAACACCCATAAGAATGATGTTATTCATACTTTTAAAATTGGTTCATTACACCTGAAAGTTCACTATAAGTGAACACTACTGCATATATTTTATTTAAGCTTGACTTAACATGTCTTATTATACCTCTCTATATTCAGAGATAAGATAAATTAAGCATTTTAAAAAATTCTAAATTTCTTAGCAAGAGTAATAAAAATATAAATAAAATAAATTTTAATGAAAAACATATTTAATTGAAGTCAAATGTAGGTAGAGATAGTGTACAAATCCTACTTAGTTAATTATTACATGTAATTATATACTTTGTATATACACCATGTCATGGTAACAGTTTAAGTCAGAAGCTAAATGCCACAAATGGATGTAAGTGCATAGTTGTATCAGTTGGCACAATGAATGCCCAGTGACCTGTGTGGTTATACATCCTAAATCAGTGATTCCCAAAGTGGGTGCTACTGCCCCCCTGTGGATAGCAAGTACCACTCACTACCTTGGCCTTACAAGTCTTAGCTGGGCTTCTTCCCCTACACAGAAGAGCAAAGGAAGAAATGTGGAAATGGAGGTAGTACAGTGACTGCAATTCAAAGGATCCTAACAACAATCTCTCTGACTATATTAATTAATATTGGGATGTTTACCAGCTTAGATCACAGGCTGTTAAAATGGCTGACACAGAGGGAGGATTTAGTAGGTGATAATATCCCTACTCATTCCAGCCATTTTAGCTATATGGCTTTGCTGGGTATCACGAGGGTCCTATCCTTTCCATTTATATCTTTATGAACAGTTCTAAGTGTGGTGACCAGGTTTGTCATCATTGAAAGTAGGACCAACAAGTGTCTGTACTGGGATAGTTATCAGCTTGCAGGCCACTGCACTGTCACCCAGGTATAGCTTTTTGGTATTCTACAGGCAACTACTTATATCAACAGGAAGATGGTAAATCACCACATTAAGATCTGTTCTGATAGCCAAACAGCTATCACGCAAATCAGCTGTCAAAAAGATTTTGACAGCTGATTTGCCTGATATTGCTAGACTCATTGGGTTGGAGGTTAATAGGAGTAAACTGAACTACATTGCCATCTCATGGGTCTGGGGACACTCAGGGGTAGAGGGGAATGAGTGGGCTGACACCCTGGCCAAGCAAGCAGCTACCTCTTCAGCAACTGCTACCTATAAAGCCCTGGTCACACTATGCGATTTCTAGCTGCGCAGGCGACTGCAACTGCGACGGCTGTTCCTGTTAACTAGTAATCACCCTTCAAAACCAGCATGACTGCAACCGCAACTAGAAACAAAAAGTTTGTTCTACTCGCGACGATTGCAAACACGCATCCAATTAACAAATGCCTTTGTGCCACATCATACAGTGACAACATTGAATATTAGTGTTGTAACGAATAGTATGTTCGGCCTCAGGCCGAATACTCGGCCAGGAGCGTGGCCGAATAGCCGAATATTCGGCAAAACTATTCGGCTTGATTAACGCACGTACGAAAATTGGCACGCAAACCGCATTATGGCAAAGACCCTGCTCTCTATTGGCCCACTGTCACTACACTTCGCCAATCGCATTAATTCTTGACAGTTCAGACAAGAGCGTCATGGCAGTATGTGATAAGTGATAATATTAAATGTGAATAACAATGAAATGACCTACATGTGTAAATAACGGAAGAACAGAGAAGGACTGCAAAATGAAAATAAATATGAAATTGAGTTGATAACATAATCGAACAAGTCGATTATGTTACTTGAGTAACATAAGATTATGGTACGATTATGTTATTGAGTTGATAACATA